AGGCAACGCCGAGTGTTTGATAACTTGTTTTCAGAATCCGAGATATCCGTCTTTCCGTCATCGCTAATGGGTAACTAGGTTAAAGAAGACACTGGGATAAGAGCCATCCCCTTATCGCCGATACTCTTGCCTGCACTCTAAGCATTATACATCTATGAACGATTGCTTAGTAGTCTCGATTGAACGTTGGTAGATCAAGTAGAACATTCAATTCATACCGAATCCCGAACTTCACCTACAGCCCAATAATATTCAAGTTTACTAATTAACATGCATCAACTCGGCTGTATTACGCAGAACCTCACGTAAGATATGCACCTTTCGATGCGCTGTAAGGCTGAATAAGGCTGATGAGAAGTTTGCATAATTCGGAAGGCATAGTTGCTATATGGATGCATATACTTGTTGTTATGTATGACTGCATCATGATGTACTAACAGACAGACGTCGCGATCTGCTGATGCGTTGACCCTCTAACTCGCTGATAGGTGAGGTGTAACCCAATAATACGCATGAGACGGTGTGCTACCATGTGGTGGCCTTAATACGGGAATAAAACATCGACCCTTCTCCACGACAGCCTCATAGTGACCTGAGGTATGGTGGGGTCTCGTATGGTTGGAACCCTCCGATTGCGATCAGATATGTATACACACGTAATATATCTCGGCAGCTAGTGGGGTTTGAGTTCGATGCAACCGTTTTGTATAGAAGTTTGAATACTCAGGGGTTAGTATTACGTAGTCACATTAGGTATATCTAGGATCTACACAGTAGCTCTGCTTGGTTAGTATTCGACGGCGAGATGGAAGGTATTAACAAGACCAAACACACAACCGAATCAAGGCGGAAGCAGTTTCAACGGTAACTCTAAAGAGAAGGCACGGATTTATAAGTACTTCTTCTTAATAGAATACATTGGGTGCCTTTCTCATGCCTTGAACTGTAGAATCTAAATTTGATTACAAGCGGGTTATCAATTATCAACTCGCTTACAAGGTAATAATCAAGTGGCTCCAAAGTATAATAGATGTAACACATAGGTAAGCATGTAACTACATTGAAATTTATATACAATGAATAACCGTTATTAATCTTTAGCCAGTGGCTTAAGAGGAATTACCACACTCGATGTTTTGGATTTGATCATGCAGGATTATCTTAGGTAAATCTAGCCTCCTCACATGGGCTTTCCGAAAATTCAACGAGCTTTCCCCACCAATACCTAACGTGTATGGTTCTTCCGGAGTATCCGTCAGTAAGTCATCTGTTAGGACACACAAGGCAACAGGTGGGCTTGAACCAGGATCGAGTAGGGTTCCTGCAGAAATAAAAGCTACCCTATATTGAAACTATCACCCGAACTATGACGTCTAAGTTTGTGTCTCCTGACGACTGAGAAACAGTATTACCTATTATGTTTGTTAGATCTATGCTATCCTACCTATGTAGTACTTTATACGCGTATAACTAGTACAGTAGTTTAGATACTTTGAGATATCTCGTATGATGAGTTTATGATACTTGAATGATCAACGGAGCCATGTACGAACACTTATTAGTTGTGCAAACTGGGACGCAGGAAATCATCGGTAACGTGTTTCCAGCAATATAATAAACCCTCACCCTAGTACCCCACGTTGAGATGCGAGGCACATCTTTTCAGGGGATTTGTGTAACTTCGGAAACAGCCACGCATCTTACCTCGCCAACTATTGCCGTCATATAGTCTAGAAAGGTTTAACGTGATGTCAAATAGAAAATGTATCCTTAATAAAGAATTTGAAACTGAATTGGTTCATCGATACGTTGGGGTTCTGTTTATCCTACGTGATATCTGACAGATATTGAATGATGTAATACGGAATGTATATTCAGACTTATACATGATTACTATAGAGTTCATGAAAATCTTAGTCCCGTGGGTATATTCCATGAAATACGATGTAATAGTCCCGCCAATTGAATTTCGAAATGGAATTATAGTCCTCGATCAAGCTTAGGGGAGAAACATTGAAGATACTTGGCCGGGAATAACAACTTGATGTAATTGTGGAATCTACCGATGAATGGCCCGCTCGTAACTCCAAGGTCTTCCTATGATCTCTTATGCTAAGCACATGCATGCATTATGGAGATCCTGGACGATAACTGGATTCCTTAGCCCCGACTTTAGTATCGTATTCACAGATATTGGTGAGGATTGGCCACATTAGCATTCCAGTGTTACATGTATTAGTTGTAAAGCATCTCAATAACTGGAACACATATGGCATAGATATAAAGAACATCTCTAAATGGTTTAGCGCTGAAGTAAAATCATCGGATTCTAACCATACAGGTGGTGGGATATGGTTACATAAATAAAGAAGTAGGGTGGTATGGTGTTCGAAGCATGAATGATTGTGCCGACGATTTCGAGTAGTACTTATGAGGGGTTAAGGACGAAGACAAAGATTCAATTAAAGTTTGTATCGTGAAACTATCAGACCATAATATGCGGAACGCTGCGGGCATCTCATCTTCGCGGTGGCACCGAGAAGATTGTGTGCCTTTGTTTCCCTAGTGGCAGGACTGGGACCTGCTTTTGGTATAGTATATTGGCTATAAATAAAGAAGGGCGAATAGGCATGCTCCAAATATGAGTTTGTGCAAGGGAAACACGTTCGACCATAGGCCAGTTAAAATAGCGAGAAAAAGGATAAGGGACTCTTACTACTTGGCTAGAAACGACCCCCAAGGTAACACGGGAACAATTCAAGCTAGACTCGTTCCCACACTTCGACGTCTTTGTCTGTCCACACGCCCCAAATTACACGCGTTGAAAGCACCAACAAACTCGGCTTTCACTAAATTCCCCGAGGGGCAATAAGTAAGACCATCCGAATAGCTATGCGACTGCTGTTCTTAGTGGTGTGTTTCTTTTTGGAGAGGTGTATATAAATCGCCATCCCCGATCCTTTGTCCAGGAAATCCAATATCAAAACGAACCCATCAGGCCTTCGAGCTGAGAGTATTTAGTCGTGCAGGTTTAGACAAGTTTAGACTTCGACATTCTGACTCGTGCCTCTATCTAACTCTAAGATTCAACTAGGACACAACACCTTAGTAGGGCGCCCTTTAACTCGAGCTATAGATTTAAATTGAAGCAAAATGGGCTCACTCGAAGCAAACCGCATTGAAGAGCTAGATGCTCTCATCATCGGAGCCGGCTTTGCTGGTGTATACCAACTAAAAAAGCTCCGGGACGAGGGTTATAAGGTCAAGCTTGTAGAATCAGGTTCTGGCTACGGTGGGGTCTGGTACTGGAACAGGTACCCAGGCGCCCGTGTTGATAGCCATGCGCCTCACTACCAGTTCTCAGACCCCGAACTCTGGCAGAACTGGCACTGGAAGCAGCGATTCCCCGACCACAAGGAACTACGAGAATATTTCAAATTTGTGGCAGAGAAATGGGACCTTAGAAAAGACACCTACTTCGATACCTACATAACCTCAGCTATTTGGGATGAGAAGGAGTTTAAGTGGGTTATCACGGCAAAGGATGGCCGGATCTTCAAGTCAAAATTCTTTTTGCCGCACACCGGAATTGCAGCTAGTCGGTCGACTCCTAAATGGAAAGGCATTGAGTCATTCAAAGGCCTTATAGTCCACTCTTCTTACTGGCCGCATGACGAGCCGGATCTAAGGGGCAAGAAGGTTGCCGTCGTTGGCACAGGCTCTACCGGCGTCCAGCTATCTCACGCTATAAGCGAGGTGGCTGGGGAACTCGTGGTATTTCAGCGTACACCTGCTATGCCATTGCGAATGAAACAGATATATTATGCCGACGATGAAGAACCTATGCCTAAGGAGGAATTGGCGGAATTCTTTGATACCTGTCACGACCGCTACTGGGGTTTCGATTTCGAACTCCTCTCGAAGAAAACTTTCGACGATGATGAGGCTACACGGAAGGCTACTTACGAGGCCCTATGGAAGAATGGAGATTTCACATTCTGGCTTGGAACCTACTCGGACATGTTATTTACTCCCGAGGCTAATTATGAGGCTTACAAGTTCTGGCGCGAGAAGACCCGGGCTCGTCTCAACGACCCCAGGCACCAAGAACTTTTGGCGCCTACAAATCAGCCCTATCCGTTTGGGTGCAAGCGGGTACCGCTCGAGAACGGCTACTTCGACATGTTTAACAAGCCGAATGTAGACCTCGTCGACGTTAACCAGACCCCCATCGTTGAAGTGACAGAGACTGGAATTCGAACAACCGAGAAGGAATTGGAGTTCGACATTATTAGTGAGTACCTGTCTGATTACTTGGATCCTTGCGGTAGATATTGACTTTTTACCCAGTTCTTGCGACTGGCTTTGATGCCGTCACAGGAGGCCTGACGAACATCGACATTCGCGGGATCGGCGGCCAGACCGTAAAGGACAAGTTCCAGAAACAGGGACCTAGCACATTCTGCGGTATCTGCATCGCCGGATTCCCGAATATGTTCTTCTCGAACGGACCTCAGTCTCCGTCAGCTTTCTGCAATGGCCCCACGTGTTCCGAGATCCAGGGTAACTGGATCGCCGACGTCATGAACCGCCTCCGTGATACGGGGATCGGCAGCATTGTGACGGACGAAGAAAGCGAGAAGACATGGACCGAGCATGTGGAAGGCGTGACAAACGCATCGCTTCTTCCGAAGGCTAAAGGCGTAAGTTGATACCAAAGAGACCTTTGCCACGTCACAATGAGGAGACGCTAACACTTTGAATGAATAGTGGTACATGGGCGACGGCATCGCCGGGAAGCCAAGAGCATCGCAGATGTACTTGGGAGGCGTGCAGAACTACAAAGCGAGTCTGGGATATAGCGCGTCAAATGGATACAAAGGATTCCACTTCGACGGGTTGAATAATGACGTGAAAGCTTAGACGGAAAGGCATTCTTCGATTTGCACACTACTTTCACCATTATAAATAGCTTGCTTTCCTATACTGCTCTCTCCTTTAGATGTAATTATCTAGACGTATAAGAAGTCCGCAGCCTCATACTCACATCAGACGGTGGAGATATTAAAATGTCAGGGGTATACCCCTTTTATATGGGAAAGGGCGAGGAATATAGATCGCGTATGAATTAAAAAAATATTTTGAAGTATTTCTTGATTCAGTTTTTTAGAAGAAAATTGTCGGAAGTCAATCAAATCAGATCCTTAGGCCTATATCCCATCATACGAATCCAAACGTTCGAAATGACGCTCCGCCCGTTTCCCTTCGTCGCCTCTATGAAGCTCGTTGAGGTAATTTTTGAAATCTTTGGAGAGCTCAACGACTGCTCTCAGATGCTCGTCTGTGATCATGATTTTCCCATCCTCACCCTTTTCGGCGTCATACTCCGCCAATGATACAGCGGTTTGGAACGCTAGAATTATATTCTTAGTTAGAACAGAGAGCAAATTACGAAACATCGACAGTAGGCCATGTTTTACCGTTTCTGATTTCTCGCCCGTTCCATTTAAGAGCTTTAATCTCGGCTCCCCTGATATAGTCCTTTGCATCGACGTTGAGCCGCATACAGTCACCTCGCTCTTTAGCAAGTTTGTCAATAAAGGTCTGCCAGACCTGCCGCCTCTGGTCATCGTCGAAGTCGGAATAATACAATTGTAGATGTACGCGCGAGATAAAGGCGTCATCAAACGAGCCAACCCTATTCGTAGTGAGGAATAATATGCCGTCGTAGAACTCGAGAGCTCGAAGGAACCCTGAAGAGCGTCATATCATATATTAGCAAAATGATTCACTAATATATTCAAATAACAGGTGCTGGCTTTTGGCACATAATACATCATAATAACCTACCCGCGACTAAGCTGTTCCGAACAAGGTCCGCTGTTGAGCGACGTTCCATGAAAACGTCAGCTTCGTCGATGAGAAGGACAGCCCCCCAACTTCTTGCTCTCTTGAAATGCATTGTCAAATTTGCTTCAACGACTTCTGGATTGGTGCCTATATCACTAGATGTTAAGACCATCAAAGGGCGCCTTGTGAAGGCTGCAATGCATTCTACACAGGGAATTTAACTCGTTAGTACATCGAAAACGTGTTATGGGAATGGCAAAGGGGCTCACCAGCGGTACACGTCTTGCCAACTCCTGGCCGACCATGTAATAGAAAGATGATACCACTATTTAAAAAGGAGTGTTAGCAGCAACTGATTCAAGTCGGATAGAACTCAAAAGCATAAGTTTTGGTGCATTATTATAATCAGATCAGGGTACCAGGGATACATACTGCCCCTTTCCTTTTACGAAGTCGGCTGCCCACGGATCGTTAGTTAAGGCATCTCCGTGCTTATTTACACGAGCAAAGCTCTTCGCCAATGACTTCAACATTTGTTTCCTACGCTGTTCCATGACAAGATGGTTTATCAGATCCTCGTCAAACTGCGGCTCGGAGAAATGGCGCGTGTGTAAGGATTCTGATTAAAGTGTTAATTAAACCTATGATATTTAAAGTAATATGATCTCAACTTACCCCAGGAACGGGTCCTAAAGACGAATGCCTTTATTTCGTAACTGCAAAGAAAATATTGATGAGATGTCAGTGTTTCTGTTGTCTCAATTCCGATCATATTGTAATCATCAAAGAGGGCTAATATCTTCTTCTCCTTGTCAGTATTTTTATTCTTGCAACTTGGGCATTTGCAATCCGAATTCCAGTTGCGACAGTCGTTGTTATCCATGAGTTTTACTTCACCCTGGTACCTCTCGTAGTAGCTTTTGAGGTCGACCATCACTAAACCATTGACCTAATTGCTTGTAAGTCTTTCAACCTCACTAGTCAAAAGTAAGGAATTGGTATGCGGCATACCTCATTATATGGAAAACTTTGAGTTTTTCCGTTGTATTGTCTGCACTGCTTCCTTAATAGGTTCCAGTAAGTCTTGCCGTAGTTCAACTGGGCTTCAACGTCGGGTTCAAGATTCTCTCCATCAAGATTGTCGACCTCCAAGGCTTTGAACTCGATTTGTCCGTCAAAAACATCCATTTCGTAGGAATCCACGACCCTCCCTAAATAATAACCATCGTACTGCATATACCAGAATTTAACTACCCAAGCAGTTCGAGGGGTTTCGAACACGCCACCCGAAATGGAATGTATTACTCCGGGATTTTGGTCAGTACTTGTGTTGTACTGTGTAAGTACTGTACTGCCTGGTTTCAGGCCTACCCAGGCAAATTCGAACGTGTGGAATCCTTTTCTGTTTCTCTCTCTTTCAGCTCTTACTTCTTCCATGATATTATGGTCGAGGAACTCGAGAAGCAGGCCTATGTGCTCGTAGGCCCACTTCTCTCTAACGCAGAGCTCGGTCTCATTCTTAAGAGCAATTTCTTGGCGAAATTTCTCCAGTTCGTCGTAATGATGGACCAGGATTGGGTACGGCCACTTTATTTCGATGTTACCTGTCAGATCTTGAGATGGGTAGTATTGTACTACGGTTTGGAGGGCATTGATTATAGCCTGAGAATACAGATGTAGAGAATATATTGGAGGAGATGAATGAGATGGTTGCGTCTCGGAGATGGTAGTTGAAGTTGTTGGTGTTACCTTGAACGTCGTGACTACAGCGAAGGCTAGACCACCACGAGCAGCACCATTAGTATCGAGGTCGTGGGCTTTGGTATCATGCCGGCTGATTAATTCATTGGTGTTGCGATTTCGATACTCCACGCAGTATCTAATCCAAGGACCCCCGGAATTGTCGCCTGTGGAAGTAGGTTGTCTTTGATTGCCAGCCTCCATAGGATGTAGGTTAGGTACCTAATTCGAGTATTTTGTTGTATATATGTAAAAGGATAATAGGAGGGCTCTTCCTTTTGATAGACTAAAACAGACAAGACTTTATACTTCTTTATTTCTGCTCACTATACGAAGTCTCACCCTGCTGAAAAGAACGGCGTATGCGTAGTATGAGTCCTGATTAAGTAAATGTGTAAATGTGCTTCTCCATGAATGAAGGGGAGCCTGACTTTTTAAGATGCCTTATACGACACTCGACAGCACTCATGTCAGCACAGCCCTTGAATTGTCAATTGGAGTACGTATAGACTCCAAATAAAAATACCGCATTTTGAGGCAGGCTCTATGACAAGTCCTACTTCTTGGCGAATATCTCTTATCGGTATCCAATAGCAAGAGAAGTATTGCGCGTACGTGATATTGTGACATGCACATTAGATAGAGCCTACAGGAGAGCCTATCGGCATTTATGAGTCTAAGTATCTACCTTTGTAGCCTTGTTAAGTGTAGTTAATGGACTTCTAAACAAGTAGCCCGGACGTCTATTTTGTTTTGAATATACTGAGGAACTTTCCATTTACCTAGGACGGCGATTCTATGGCCAATTCAATCGATGATGTCTTGGAGTCTCGGAGGCTTGTACGGATGTATAGCAGTGATGCTGAAGGAAGATTATCTCGTGGCGGCGATGATGCCCAGCGTTTGGGTCAGGTATTGAGTCACGAACGACCGGATCCAAGAGATTTGAGGAATCCATGGCGAATATTCTTCGAGCCGTGGCAACCGTCTACAGGTCATGAGTAAGGTCACCCTAAAACATCTGGGAATGTCACAAACATGATTAACGGTTTTTCTAAAACAGAGATCCTGTTACTACTATTATCTCCATCGAATCAAATAAACTACGAGAGAAATGGGCCCCTTTTCTGACAAGTAGTCCCGTTGCGGATCGTCTGAATATAACAAAATCAGAGCCCACTGTTGAAGGCGTGGTTGATCTTGTCAAAGAGGTTACCGCAGCGGCACAATCAAAGCGAGATAGTAGGCGCCGCGGAAAAGCCATGAAGTTATTCCATAACTTCTGTAGCACCATTGACTCGCATAGGTCAATGCTGAAGCTCATTCCGGAAGGCAACGAATACGTCTCTATCTTTACCGGGACTCTAAATATTATCATACAAGTAAATTCAAATCCCCACCCCACGATTTATTGTATTCTGACTTTATTTAGGCTAGTGTTAATCATGAGCGCATTGCCGAAGGCTTATCGGAAGCATTGTGCCGCATCAGCGAACATGTCCACGAATGTAAATCGGAGCTGGAGTTATTCAGGACCCAGGCAATGACGAAGCTAGTTGCAGATTTATATGCCCATATTTTCATCTTTCTTTCAGATACCATGGACTGGATAACAGAGAAAAGGCGGAAGAGACTATTAGATTCTTTCAACGAAAACTTCTACAAAAGGTTCGAGAGCCAGGTCGAGACAATTAGGCACAAGTCTGATATGATACGAAACTTGGCAGCCCAAAGCTCCCATGCAGAACAGCGGGTAACTAGGTTGACTGTTGAAGATCTAGCACAGGACATTAGGTTAGGCTTAGTTGGTGAAGAGCGACGACACGCCGAGATAGTCTATGTCGCAGAGAAGATTGAAAAGGAACTCTCAGAAGGACGGAGAGAGAGGCAGCTTCTAAGAGAAGAAGGTCAACAATTCAAGCAGCTAGCTGATCGCCTTACTAGCATGCTGCGGGATAAAGCAATGGTATGGATAGGGGATATGCACTCAATTGACAAGAGTAAGCGGCTATCTTTCATATTTCCAACAGACCAAGAACTAAACCCCGTTGATTTACTTTAGGATTATCTCCTGTTTCCCTACTCGCTAGACCGGGCGACTTAGGGGTTACATCGACAGCTAAGGCGGGCTCATCATGCCTCACGGAATGGAACTCGGAAGAAATCGTGCTAAATTCCAAACACCTAGAGGATTTCTTCCACCGAGATCGTGTGCGGTTACCTGATGGATCTTTTAACTCGGCCAGGATTAGTTCCAAAATCATTGGTCGACTAGGTGAATGGGTGAAAGACAAGTCCTCTCGTCTTCTTTGGCTTGAAGGTCCATTGATAGAAGCTGCCGACTTTGACAACCCTATCACTATACTAGCCAACAAAATTGTGGAATTGACAGAGAGCTCTCGCATCCCAGTTATCTCCTAGTAAGTGTTAAGCGTCACAAGATTATAGCAAAAATATTTTAATAGGTACTCTTAGCATGAAAACCAACTAACTTGATTTCTTATTTTTTTAAAGCTGCTGTGAGATTCGCCGTCGAGAGCAGCTGAAGCCAGGCAATGACACACGAGAGGCCCAATCCTGCGTGGCTCTCGTTTGCGCTCTAATACGACAGATGGCCGAGCTCTTACTCCCACGATTCACAACACATTCTGATTTCTCTCTAAACCGACTCCAACTAATTGATGGATCTATTCTGTGCTGGTCGCAGATGTTAGACCTATTTCAAGACTTGCTATCGCTTATGCCAAACACCATGCTCTGTATTATTGACAGTTTTCAGTGGCTGGATGACCGAACTACAACGATATATCTGGAGGAGCTGGTTCAAGCAATAAGAAATTCCGGACTCAAATGTTTATTCACTACGACTGGCCGGTCTGCTTGCTTGATAGAGCAACTTCAAGCAAATGAAACAGTAGTGATTGAGAGTGCTGATCTGAGACAAGGACCTTGGGGATTGGGTCGAAATAATTCTTGGGCTTTAGCGCAACATGATGAGGCTTCTGCAGGCTGCAGTATGGTTGACAGGATGTAGGTAAGAGAACGAAAATTTGAAGATTTCCCAGGTTAGGTACTGTTCGAGAGAATGTCTTCATGAGACTCGACAACTCACTCGTTAGAATAAAGGGAAATATCATAAATTAGGCGGGTTGTTAAGAATCAGTTAGTGGTACCTGTTTACCGCGAAGGAATAGATTACGCAATACTTAAATCAATATTGTCGTCAATTTTCATTTAATTAATAGTTCTGCACTGGGATGAATAAAATTTGAACCCTGATTCGTCGCTCATATCATAGTTTGGCGGTCCGTTGCGACAGACGCGAAGGTGACGGTGAAATGCTGTCATCTAGATCGTCATTATTCTATGCAAGCCCGATGAGTTGAGTATATTAGGTACGGCTAATGCAATTATAGCATTTGATAATGTCATTTATCACTCCCTAAAAAGGTCATTAGTGCACCAAGAATGCCTTGTCAATCGAGTCGTCTCGTCCGGTTTGTAAGGGCCCCGGTAAGGATCTACAGTCCGGCTCCTTCGCATGTTCTTCAGCGCACATTCGCAGAACACCATTTCCCAGGAAATAAAGCCGAATCACTTGAACACAGTCAAATATTCAAGATAAGCCAGGCTATCGAACAGGACCACAGAGAACTGGAGGATTACTACAACCGCATTGGCAGCTCCAAAGACCCCGACGAGCAGAGGCGATTTCAGAATGCCTTCATTTGGGAGCTATCACGCACTCAATTGCAGAGGAGATCGTTGTATATCCGATCTTAGAAAAGGCGATTCCTGATGGAGCCCATAGAGCTGATATGGATCGCGATGAGCATCAAAAGGTACTGAAACCCCCTTTCAATACGCATGATTCCGTGAAAGAGCTTTAACAGACATGTAAGGTCAAAGAACAACTCTACGAATTCCAGAAGCTGAAACCTGGAGACCAAAGCTTCCTCCCCACGTTGGAGGCGCTCTTCAAAGACCTGAAGCGTCATATCAAAGAGGAGGAAGAACAAGATCTTGTAAAACTGGAGGATGCACTTGGGCTGACGCAGTCTAAGGAATTGTGTCAGAAATTCGAGAAGACGAAGTTGTTTACGCCAACCCGAAGTCATCCCAGCGCTCCTGATAAACCCCCATTCGAAACGGTCGTTAGCTTCATGACCGCACCAATTGATAAGATCCGGGACCTATTCACCAAGTTCCCAGACTCTAAATCCACAAAGCCGTATGGTGGTAAATCACCCTGAGGGATAGTCATCCCTCCTATCAGGATATGTTGTGAGGAATATATGGAAATGTCCGAAACCCTATATATTAAGGGGTATGAAGTAGATCATCATCCAGAAGGAAGCCCAAACGGCGAGCAACCAAACAGAGATATGAACTATATGGTACATTATAAATTCACTATCACTTTAAAACCGCGTTTTCGGGCTTGTTATAAAGTATTTATCTACCTCTATTACCCCTTAACATTATTCATCCTCGTGAGCTTGCCCTTAGTGAGCCTCAGCCCCTGAATGGCACCGCTAATGAATTGATCCTATCAACTGTAGTGGTATAATATTAAGAAACTCAAGACTGAGCTAGACCGCGAGTAAAAGGTTAAATAGTTAGAATTTCTTGACCTCTCCGTGGGAAATGTGCCTCTTGACAACATTATAGTCTTTGCCGTAATCGTCAAACCAGTTAGGAAGACATATCGCATATATTCAATGATAAGATATATGCTACTAGGAGGTCAACTTTTGGTTAATAGTCCCAGGTCACATCCAGACATGCCAAATACACGCCTCCTATATATAGGTAAAGATGGCAATTCAATATCTTGCCACATATTTGCCAAATTATGACCAAGCTATAGTTTACTGTACTACCAACACTATCCCGCCGGATCAGAAGTGACACTGGTTATATATGCTTATCGCCCCCTTTTTTCCTTGATCTTCCAAATGTATCGCCTATAGCACCTATACACTATTTTCTCCAATTCAGCAGGCATTCTGCGTTTTTCTCATTCTCCTCATGACAGACAGTGCCGTCTCCCTTGGCCCTATTGCCATTACTGGCGGATATGGTTTCATCGGAAAATGATTCAGGGAAGAAGCCGAGAGAGCAGAGGGGAAGAAGAGCGCCTAAGTCGTAGTTATCCATCTTCAGTTTCACCATACCTTGGTTTAGGATAAGGGATGGAAGGATTCTAAAGCAGACCTAGGACTCAGCCGCTCGGGTTTGTGCTAATGAAAAGCTATGTAACCCATATATTTGTTTTTTGTCTGTAATTCTTCGAAAATGAACTGCCACAATATCAAGGCTTGATGTTAGTCAAAGCCAGAGTAATATTAGTGAAGTGAAAGACAGACACACTGAGGCTTCCAAGTTATTTCTTAAAATTATTCCTAGCTACCAGTTACCATATGATACAATGCTAAGTATAATAATGATAAAGGTCTTAGCATATTAAAGCAACTCTCGGGTTTCTATACCACTTATTCTTACACGATAAGATAATCCACATCTGAACGAACTAGATAATATGTATGGATAACCAGATGCTCAAACGTCCTCACCCAGTCTAACTTGTTTTCTTCTTCGGGATCACAGCAATCAGCATGCAAACCCACAAGACACTGTGCAGTAAAACAGACTTTGCCTATTCTCTCCCATAACTGCCTTTCATTTTGAGCGTTATCTACTGATTTCAAAAATAGAAATCCGGCAGTCCGAACAGGCTCCTCGTAATGAATGAAAACAGCGGCAATATTTTCCCATCAAATGTTCCCGAATCAGAGTCAATAATATACTGTCCATAGTTTAAAGCGACTTAAAAGCAGTAATAAATTTCAATTCACGAACCATTTTACTCCTTATTGATCCGCATTCTTTGCTCAAATGAAGCTATCTACACACTAACTACCACGCTAAAGCCAAGGCGTCTCTGCAGAAACCTCTATACCAGCGCCCTACCAACATCACACTCTTGAAAAAACAACTTAGCAGGGACCTCGAACCTACCATCTTATTTGGATGTTTCTTGTGCAGGTTGACTTTCTACACTATCAGTAATGCTAAGCTTCTGCAGTTGTTCTGTAGCTCCTTGTGATGATTCGCCCTTAGCACTACCTGCAAGGCCTAACTTCTTAAGGCGCTTACGTTCCTTCTCTTTTTCCTTTGAGGCTTTCTTAGCTGCAGCTTTTTCTTGCTCAATAGCCTTTTGTTTTCGAAGCTCTTCGCCCCCAAAAGCCTCACGCCATTCGTCTGCCTTCTCCGGAGGGATAAGTGTGAAAAGTAGCTTGGGTTCTCCGAGTGCCTGGCCAGGCGGGATGGCATTAGCCGCCCAAGTATCTGGGATAGAAAACCGATCATTTCCAGAACCTTGAACGCCTAGCTGTTCGAGAATGCCATTCGCGGTTTCTGGCAAATAAGGGAACACAATGTTCGCGATGAGGTGTAGGTGATTAAGAGCAAGACCAACAACAGCGCTACATCGCTCTGGATCCTCGGACAGAAGCTGGTTGCTTAGCTTATTGTCTTGCAGTAGCTTATTTCCTAAAGCAGATATACTAAAGAAACTTAATGTCAGTTCATGAATAGTTGTTAGAATAATTTGAGAAGTCGTACCTAAGAACCGTGGAAAGACCAGCACGTAATTTGGTACCCTTTAGGTTTGTAATGTATGTTTGAAGTAACCCGTTTACTTCCTCCTTGTGTTGCTGAAAAGAACCAGTAGGATCGTTATAGGTCCGATAATCGGGCACCACAGCATTCAATTTCGCATAACAGAATTTGACAACACGATTGCAGAAGTTACCGAGATTTTTCAACAGATCGTTATTGTTGGAATCAACGAATTCCCTGAACCACAGAGGTGATTAGTCTCAACAAGTTACTAGATGTGTCAAACTCGGCTCATGACTTACCGCCAACTGAACTCGGAATCGCTGGTCTCTGGACGCCTAGAGAGCAAGTAATATCGCCATACGTCGACCGCCACACCAGTATCTTTCGCGCTGTTTCCGAACACACCAACGCTTTTTGACTTGCTGAACTTTCCTCCCTCATAATTGAGATATTCAGTGGTTGACAACTTGGTAACTTGGGTCCACTTTTCTCTTGTACCAAGCTGAGATCCGGGAAATATAATGCTGTGGAAACTGATTTAAGATGTTAGCCGGTAACTGATTTCCCTTGGTCTAAAAGCACTCACGGAACATTATCCTTGCCCATGAACTGGTAAAGCGATACATCATCTGGGTTCTTCCACCATCGTTCCCAGTTTTTGCCAGATGGGTCATCCCTATCCGTGTAGCATTTTGTGATGGAGGGATAGCCAACTGTCGCGCATTAGCATATCTGCATAGATTGGCAAAGATTGTACAATATCATACTGCAGGCATCAAACCAAACATAGAAAACCTTCTTGTCATAATCATCCCCTGATAGTCCGGGAAGGTTGGTGGGAACTACGAGGCATATGAGATTAGCGCAATTCGGTTTCCATGCGTAGGACTTAGCATACCTGGTACACCCCATTTGAGGTCTCTCGTAATACTACGGGGCTTGAGTCCGTCATGAATCCACGACTGGGTGATGGCTATGGCGTTAGAGCTCCACTCATGGCTATTACTAGCATTGTCGAGCCAAGATTTGATCTCCGGCTGTAACGCATCCAAGCGGAGGTAGAGGTGCTTCGTTTTTCGTCTTTCGGGTGTTGCGCCATCAAGCTTGCAACGGGGGTTCACCAGCCAACCAGTGGATTTTCTGTCCTCTCCAGATTCTGCTTTGGCATCTTCAATGGGCTCCAGGGGATCCAAGAGATTTCCACAGGCGTCGCACTGACAAATGCATTAGAAAAATGGAGGTGTCTACCCAAGAAACAACGAAGCCTACCTGATCTCCACGGGCACCTGCTGCATGGCACAAGCTGCATTCGCCCTCGACGAAGCGATCAGCCAGAAAGGAAGAATGTGCGGGGCAGTAGGCTTGCTCCGTCTCTCGCTGCTCAATAAAACCGTTCTCCCAAAGTCGCGTGAACATCTCCTGGACAATCTCAGTGTGCTGGGGAGTTGGTGTGCGACCGAAGATGTCAAAATCGATCTTGAACCAGGAGTAGATATCGCGGTGAATGGCATTGTACTTGGAACAAAGGGTTGCTGGATCTACACCTTCTGCAAGGGCTTGTGTTTCGGTAGCCGTACCATACTCGTCGGTACCGCAGATATATAGTGTTGGTAGACCTCGAGCTCTACAGAAACGAGCGAATACATCTGCAGACTTATGAGGGTTAAAGTGTGTTAGTTACGATATTGCTATATTACTATATATATTGAGGTTTGCGACGCAGCTTCACTTACGAGGACGCTACCAATAATATTGCCAAGATGTGGAACGTTATTGGCATATGGCAGGGCGCTGGTGATTAAAATGCTCTTCTTTCCCGACTCGGGAAGCAGGGAGGGCTTTGGATTTGAGTCACCCATGATTGCAATTCTTGTTGCAGATTCCTGTTGCAGACTCTCGTAGCTAATCGTCTCTATGATGAATTGGATATGAATTGGATATGAATTGGGTATGAATTGGGTATGAATTGAATATGAATTGAATATGTGTTAAAAGGGGAAAGCTCTTGGTGGTTACTTCGTTAGAGCAACTGTATTTTTGGCATGGAGGGGGAGGGGCAACTGAGTCACAAAAATGACACAAAATGGGCAGAAAGGAAAGGGAAGGAGCGACAACGGAAATAGAAGGCGGTAAAGGACTAATTATGTAATGAGAGTGTATCTATTTAATGAATACTTCAAGTTAACCAACTTTAGTTTATAGGGTACATAGACACATCCCAGTTGCTACCTAAATACATAGGTACCTTTGTGAACATTCATGGATGTCTTTACATATTGGAAAGCTCAAATCACATATCCAAGAAAATGCCTAACCCAACTTAAACAAAAAGTGTTCACCCTCCGATAATATTAATTAAAACAAAGGATACAACTACAAAATACCACAACACAATATTGATAGTGAACTGCTGAAAAGGTTACAATACATTTGTTCTTCATGTGAACTTACGGAATATACTCACATGAATTTGACTTGCAAGACCCACGCCAATTATGCCAAGACATTTTCCGTGATACTAATACATAATACATAGTAAGTTCGCACAGCTACCCTGGGCAAAACACACGATCCATCAATCACCAACTGGTAGCCATTGGAGCTGTTCCCCGGCGGAACAACATCCAAACCGCACTTATGGATAGCGAACAAATAAGAAGACCACAGATCGAGATACCCTTACCCTCGAAACCCCCACCCTACAGGCCTGGCGACGGCCCACCATTAGCGCCTCTCAGAATTCAGCCCGAACATGATACAGACGCGTTTATAGTTGACAAACGTGTTCTTCCAGGCACCACCCCAAATGGTGAGCTGAAGCTTCACATGTACTACGTAGTGGGATGGCCAGATCTACCTGCCGCCCGCGTCTCTGTCCTCGCGACCCAGATATACGACTACGCCTCACCTCGGGCTGTGGAAGACTTCGAATACAAAGCACTACTTGAAAGAGACGAGGAGGATCAAAGGCTTGAAGCGGAAACAAGGAGAAAGATTGAAATAGCAGCAAAGAATAAAATAATGACTTCTACTTCAACAGCACCGGGGACTCCAAACGCACCTAGTCAGAAAAGACGTGGTCGACCAAGCAAAGCCAATCTCCAGTCGCGTCAGCTGGCACAGCAGGCAAGTCTTCGCACTTCGCAGAATATCGAGGTAGCGCTTCCCCCAGCTAGTACATCCGGACCGTCGCTCTCTACACCGAAAAAAAAGCCCGCCGGAGAGATTGTGACCGATATAGAGGAGGATATCGATGAGGTGGAGCAGGAGGATGCAATATACAGACAATTATGTGGGTACAATGATGGCTCTTTTGAGGATATGGACATAGAAGACGACAAGGGTGATGGAGACATACCACTAGATAATATTCCCGAAACCGTGTCGTTGGGTTCCGAATTCAGATCGTATGCTAGAACGCTCTGGCTAAACAAGGATTCGACGTTGTTCAAGCGCACTAATGGTAGTCTTACACTGAAGTCATCGACAAGCCATGTCCCCGTACCCGAAGTACTCCGATCCAATAGACAGCTCCCACCGCAATCCTCACCCACACGAACCGACAGCCATCCCCCCGTAACACCCGTCCCAATCCCTCTACCATTTAATCCAAACAAAAGCATGGCTTCGTCGCAATTATCCGGCGCAAAGTACTCTACGACGCCAGTTCCGGTTCCCACACCGCTGAGGTCGAACAAAGAAGTACTGCAACCAAAACCTGATATCAAACATCCTGTTACTCCAGTCCCAGTCCCGATTCCTTCATGGTCACGCTCAACGAATAGGAAAGGAGATGGTTCCACTCAAGCTCCTCTCCCACAGCTTGCAACACATTCACCGCAGTATCACGGCTTCACACCCGCGGGACGAAGTTCTGGCAAATGGCCGTCAGCACAACCCCATTCACCGAGTGATATACCCTCCCAGGCATCTCTACGTAGTGAGAAAAATAGCGGTACAGATCGTAAAGAATCCACACACTTGAAGAAGAAGCCTAAACCAAAACCTACGCCTCAAAAGCTGGAGGAGCAGCCTCAAGTATGGGTGGTAAAGCGACTAGAAGGTGACAGGATGATAAACGTCGATGGTAAACACGTGCGATACTTCAAGGTGCGCTGGGAGGGTGATTGGCCACCGGATCAAAACCCAACCTGGGAGCCTGAAGAGAATATAATGCCCGGGCTCATAAAACTATATCTAAAAAAGAAAGCCGCCCGCCGCACACCAGCATCTCCGAAAAGGAAGAATAGCAATAATGTCTCTAGCAACATACTGTCATTCCGCCAACCAACTCTCAAGAGAAAGTATTCGAGCGTGGCGGAAGCGTTCGCAGGAGAGGGGGAGAACCTAGGGGAGGTAGGGATTGGCGCGGGCCAGAGTGATGAATCGTATACCAGCCAGGGAGGCGACTATGATAACGCCGATGAAGATTATGGGGAAGAGGAAATGCTCGTCGTAGCGGCAGAGCAGGATGCGAGCCCTAGTAGGCGGGATCCCAGACTAAGGCCAAAGCCCGAAGAGTTAGGTGCAGCCTTTATGAGAGATCTCGCCGCGGCTATTCGTCTCAGCAATGAAAATGGAAGCTTACACTGACCTCGGCCAAGGTTGGAGTACGGCTTCTAGCTTTTAGGTGATTTAATCGATGCAGCTATCTATTTGGCAGCGAAGGGGGTGACGGGTGTAAGTGGCTAGAGAGAACTGGTAGACTTACGACAGTATGAGCACCAATATCTCGCCCACATGTGTACCTACCTAGCCCAAGTTACGTCTTGCATACCCAAGGCACCTAAGTACCAATATATTATCCAAGGGATGGCTCTAATTTGAGTAGTCATCCAGCATACCGCTACATTAATACTAATAAATTATCATAAAACCATGGCATCACACGTGCCGTTTCTCGTTTACGATGATATACCAAGTCATACCTAACAATTGACACACAAAGGGCAAGGAAGTAGGAAGGCAAAGAATCTCAAATTCATAAGAGCACCTTAAGCGACTTTAGTATCTCTAAGCTTTTAGGTCGTTCAGATAGCATCCTCTACATCTATCCATCCTTGGGATGTTTTGTGTAGATGTTCCATGTATGTGCTAGCACCGAGTACGTGCATTGCATGAGCAGATGCTGGTCTTTCTAACAGCAAATTTTCCTCCCTTCCCCCATTTCCCCCCTTGACTGTCCATCCACATCTCTTCCCATTTTCCGTTTCCATTTCCATTTCGTGTTGCTTATTTTACCCTTTTCTTTTTTTTTCTTTTTTTTTAATACCAGAGCACCACCTGTGAACCGAAGAAACCGCCCAAAACGACGAAATAAAGAAAATCAACCTGTAGAAAGGAAACCATGCTGCGTGAAATCCGTTCCGGTAATGCAGTGAAAAATCCATGACGAAAGACAGCGCAACGCCATGATGGAAGTTAACGGAAAGTTGCCTTGATGCTGAAAGATGATGTTAACGTCTCCTATTTAGGAATCAAAGGAAAATAACGCAAGCAGATAGGAAGGCTTCCAGAAACTCCGTGTGAACATCCATCTGGTGGGATGTAACAAGACGAGTTCGGGCTAGCTATCCCAGCTATCCCATAGAATTGGTGTATACCGCAAATAAACCCGAATTGTAAGAGATGTGAAGAATGCCCGGAAAAATAAAGAGAATCATAACGACGTAGTATCATCACTAGTCTAGAAAAATAGAGCCATAAGTCGTGAACGGGACTCTTGCTAAGCATCCCAACTCCACTTTTGATACCGGTACGCCTTCTTGAAATTTTGATGTCGCACCCGTCTAATAATCCCTTTACTCTAGGATTCAAATATTCCGGAATATCGCGCACGCATTTCTGCCTTGGGAATGGTTCGGAAAGGCTGAGCGTGAAATATAGTGTTAGCCTCGGATAGGCGGACTAGATCGGAGTTGTCGCGGTGCAACAATTCGTGATAGGCTGGGTCGTTTTGTGGCAGCGTATGTTTTGGTATCATTTTCTCGTCTCTATCTTCCTCTGTAGAGACGTCTATAAGGGGGTATTGCTCCCAGGGTGCTTTGGTCGGAGATTCGGTTATGACAGGGAATTTCTCGTGGCTAATTTCGTGGATGGGCGAGTCTAGTAGGTTCACGATGGGCTGGATCGTATCTTGCTTCTTCTCGGCTTGACTCGAAACTTCGATCTCTCCCCCCTTGTCCTTGTACTCTTCATGGTCGCAAGTCGGAGCATGTGGCTGATAGACATCATCACTATAGACGGCAGAGGTAGCTGTTTGAGACTTTGTTTCTACCCATTGGTCTAGCAAGCTTTGATGGGGGTACCTTACCGGTCGGAAAGGTTCCTGCAGGTCGCATAACGGTTTGTTGCAGGGATCCGGGGCAAATCGATGTAAGTTACTGTTAAAAGAGCCCGGCTCAAGTCTTTCCTGGTCCCATACAACTCTCTTGTAATATTTACTGGCGTTGGCCACACTCTTGAAGAGGATGAACAGAGCGCCCTTTTCGATCCATGAATCTTCTAGGATATCCTCTGGATTTCCAAGGATAGACTCAAGGTCGTCAAAGAATTCAAAGGACCGGTTCTCTGCAAAATTGAGAAACACCACTAGTCGAGTAAATCCATTTGACAGGTCACGCTGTAACTCAGGCTTCGTAGGATAGCTATGTGAGCTTACCAGTGTGACCTTAAACCCGCCAGAAAATACAAATGGCATCTCCCTTTCTACGTAGTGGACGTAAGCCCAAGCTGCAATGCTTTCTTTAAACTCGACGATCACGGTAGGTCCGACGGGATCAGGACTCGTAGCTTCTGTGATGGAAAGTATTTGTCCTCCACGGATTCGCGACATAAGATCGCTAAGAGGTGTAGACTTAGGAAAGCCGGTGATCATGATGGTTCGTGATACTGGGAAGGGTGCCGGGTATGGGTCTGGAGCATAACGGATGCCAAATTGGAGCATGAGAGGAGGCAGAAAATGAGAATTTATTGCCTCGAGACGCTTAGTCTCATTGGCAAATACTCGGTCGACATAATCATTATTGTCCGGAATGCCTGTCTTCCGATTCTCCCTACTCGCTCCAAGCACATATTGCTTCGTTGGCCTCCAAAGGTTACTTTTTGGAAGTCCGGCCCCTCCAGTCTCTTGAGGGAATCCTGAATAATTCGATAAGGATTCAGGGGTATACCAAGGTTCAGAGTAGTCACTTCCACCAATAGTTGCCGGCAGGACCATCTCGGCATTGGCCCTGTCCATCCTGTGTGTCCGAGAGGTTGTGGAATCTGCAGAGGAAGTCGCTTTCTGTGTCTCCTCAGGAACTCCTTCTTTAGCAACTGAAGACATCTTCTTTTCGCGTAAACTTAGTGCCCAACTGCCCGGCTCGCATAGCTCTCGGGGATTAGTAGGGTCGTAACGGCTAACCTTTTCAGCCATCCTAATCGATATTTGCGCGGCGGATGGCCTTCCATGGATTACGCAGACATCACGAGGGCAGTCACGCGGTGGGAATAGACAGGTATACTCATATTCCGTAGGATCACCATTTCCAGCTTTGGTGTCGTGGTGTTCTAGGCCTACACGACCATAAGAAGTGCATAAATCCATTGTAAGTCTGTAAGGCTAGAAGATTTAGAAGAAGAATGCTATTGTTCTAGGGTGATAGAAAGTAATTGTAAAATATGCGACCGAATAATTAGGTGGGTATAAGATTAGTAGGTAAAGAGTAGAGATTTGGAAATTTATTGACTTTGTGAATGGTAGAAGTTACGAACAAAGCAAATAAAGCAGGAACGTAAGGAATGGCTGCAGTAGAAGAGAGAAGGAATCGCGACTCGACGCGACACGCCTTATGCGGAATACTCACATTTTACTTAGGCCGGCAAGCACAACTCAAGACAGGTGCGGGGTTAGTGGACTAATATTCTCTCACGGCCGGAAAGTAGTTAATGAAAGAGGTAGGAAGGAAGTTATATGTAGATATGGAAGTGGGTAGGAGGTAGTATGGTACATAGAGGTGTGGAAATATTAGTACTGTATATGTTAACCTCTGTTCAGTTTCGCGACTTCCCTGGTTTACATTTCTTATAAGTAAAATATACCTACATATACTGAGCGCATAGCAGTTCCAAAGTAGGTAGGTATGTACCTATTCTAGGTATATACAGCATCAACAGCAGTCTGAACCTTCTCATATCGCAATGGCCACTCACAATGTGGTGGCCCGAGCGCTTGTAATAGCCTTTATTATATCGAAGGTACCTAGATCGTATAACAACATTATGCAGGTACAGATGCTCTAGTTTGGGGCTCTAACTCATATACCTATAGGTAATATTTCACTGAAAATTGGATCCTTCTGTCAGAGGGGTTTTTTTTTAACCAAACATATACTATGCTGATGAAGTTGATGGCACGCTTCCCCCATCCACGAGGCGTCCATTTTCATTAACCCAATTGTAATAACAACTGATAGGACAGAAACTACTAACAGGTACTTACTATGACTCAACACCTTCTCGTGGACTGGCGGGGACAAAAGCCAGTATGGCCCTAGGTATGTACTATATACTTCACCAGGTATGTAGACAACAAGAAAGAAGAGAGCACATTATCTTGATAATTACTAAGATAAGGTTGCTGAGTTTTCGACAGGCTTGTAGCTAGATTACAGAACTTTTATATAAGGTAAATTCAATGTATCATTATTCGCGTAGTATTACCTCCCTCCATGAATTAAACATTTCCATAAGCAAGTACCCAAGTCAAGTAAATGCATCATAATTTTGAATTTTAGACAATGTCATTGATCCTTTAGTTTAATGTCAACAGATGCCTGATCCAGTGGCGAGGAAGCTCTCGTAGGGTTAGGCTTGGCTGTCTTAGTTGGTGCCATACATAGAGTTTGAATACCTCTTCACATCCGAGAAATTTGATTTGCGGACTACGCCAAGTTTTATATTCTTGCGTGTTTCGTAAAATATTCGGGGTATGCATATTATATTGAAGTTACGACCACGTATAGTCTATGAATCTATCTACTCACCATAGCTAGAAACTGAGGGTTAAAGGTCAGATAACGGATTGGAACTCTGTAACTCTCCAGGGGTACGTTGATCAATGAAGATAGAGTAAAACACCTATAAAGTACCCAGAAGTGAACTACTTAGACAGGAACGGCGTCTCATCACTATCATTTATTTCCTAGGTCACAAGGACCCACAGCCTTTATTTGTATATAGATAAATTCTCAGCCAACGCATAACTTGGATTATAGAATTACTATCTCCCGTAGTTTAATATAGTTAGGGAATACCCTAGGCCTGATATTATACTTGTAAATATAAGTTATGATGCTGAAATAACAATTGTCAGATTGTCCAAAAAATATGGTCCCTGTGAAATTCATTATATACAAACTTTTAGATCTAACGGATCATACAAGGAATCAGAAAAGCACGCATAAGAAATAAGATCAAATTTAAGTATGAGTCTAAGATATTGGTGACTCTTCGTTTTGTGATGGAAGCTGTTGGCTTATCTGATTATTAGTAGGCCACATAATCGCCAAACGATCCTCCGTAACATCAGTAGGGCTGGACGTTAATTAAGTGGAGAAAATAAACCACTGTAACCATTCTTAGATCATGGAAAGGGGCACAGGAAAACAACGTATCCCTATCCACTAACTAGGTACCAGAACACGAAGTATGCCAACAAACTCGCTAGGCTGATTAACAGGTCTCATGACTTCTATCAGCATCACTATGTTAGGTACATAAGGGAACCGGTGAGCGTAAAACGTTGCAGCCCGCTGTAGTATCGCCTTAGCCGCTAGGAGGCCTCATTTGATCCCCTGCAAGCATTAGGTATGTCAAGGATAAGGATAGTGTCTAACTAATCCAAGTTTGCTCAACACATTCAATCAAAATTCTGATCTGATTGGTTATCGCCTCATATGGTATTTATGATGAATTATGACGCTGATATTTGAGGGAGACTAGCTAACTCTGATGATTTTCATTGCTTAATTTTTTAGGATGTAACGAAGAGGTTACGTTTATTGTACAGCTGTTGTTATGGCAATCCTCATTGGCCTGTGGTTTTTCTCGATTATTGCGTCTGCTAGTATCTTGATAGCTTCTGATTTACAATATTTCTACCTCCATATCAACAAAAACCTTAGTTTTTGTCTGCTTACTACAGCATAGTTTGTTGCTGTATAACTTTACCTAACGTATATGCCTGATTATGTCGTGTGATATTGCGGAATTTTGTACATAAGCAGACAATTGTTCCTATGACTACTAATGATCGTTACTAGCTTGTGACGCCGTACGTACCGGGCCCTTTCCGGTACTTCCGGATTACCCTAAAACCTCCACCGGCGCGCACCGGGACCGGAGTGAAATTTAGCTAACCTGTAATAAAATATGGAACTGAAGTTGATTTAAAGACCAACAATTATATACGTATGATCCACTTACTTGCCTGTTTCTATCTTTAGGATATTCCTTCTGGTCCCACTTGTGATAACTCATCCATCATCGGGCCATTTCGCTACAGAATTGATGAATTATGTTCTACTAACAGGTGAAATTAAGATGATGTCGGATAGTCGCAATTGCATAATAGCGAGGAAGTATTTTACACCGTACCTAAAGGATCTGATATATTACGAGAAGCCCGAACCAATAGTCATCCCCTCCCGAGGGGAAGGCTCCCGGGAATAAGCCACCTTACCCCCTGTGTCGATCGTACCAATACTAGGTAGCTTCTGACCCCCACCACATATGTAAATCCTTCTTAATTGCACGTGAGTCTATGTAGTTTGCTGTAACTTACGATGCTAAAGCGAGGGTAACATTGGCCGGTCCTTTCCCAACAGAGAACTATCACTATATAATAATTAATGTAGCAGAAATGCAGCAGACTTCGACCTGTTAACATCAATGTGAATGATACGAGACTTCGGTGTCAGAAAAGGATGCGAGAACGGATATCGACGAATAGACCACCAATATTGAGCATCATGCGCTTGTACCCCCAAAACGAGCCAGACCGCCGGGTTTTTTTTTTCGCAGCCCCGTGGCCTCATACTCGGTGGGATACACATGGAAAGGAAGCTCTTAGCGAGCCTTATGAGAATCTAGCCCGGGCTACTCGGCTTACCAAATCGAGTCCCTAGGCATGAAGAACCGGGAGAGTGGAACACCGACGATGAGGCCAAGCTCTTCCCGAGAGCTAGCCGATACTTGAACTACTGCCTAGGTTAGTAACTTAAATGATCTGAAGATGGCCTGATGATACGTACTAGTCCTGACTTACATATCCCTTGCCTTTTCTCTGGAGCCAACAGATGTACCGGACATCCTACACTAGAATGGTGTTATACTAGACTATCTAAGGTACTGAGCTTAGAGTCTTAGCGTGCGTATCATGCAGTTTATACGTGTGTCTCGCTTGATAGTTTTGGAAGGAGTGGTAGTGTCGTGTTTGTCGTTGATATGCGGTATAAGAGCACGAGATGTAGACCATAGTGTTAGGCCCCTCTTCCGCCCCTCGTCTGCCCCTCGTCCACCCACTCAAATGGATCCGGGGAGAAGCCATAAAAGGTATAAACCAGGATTCCGGGCGCGTCCCCAAACTTTCTAGGAATAAGTTGGGGGTGGGCTCAACGGGAATGGTCAAGTTTGACTACTATGGATATGTCTAACTTAGTATGTTCTAGCTACTGTAGGTACTCAAACCCTAGTCCTCGTCCCCGGTTCGAAACCCGGAATAGAAACGGAGCCGAGCAACGCTAGGAGGTTTGCATTGTTTTAAGTTCGTTCTTCATGAATGCATGTGTGGAACGTGGGGGTTAGTGGTATGTAGTACCTTAGGTGCCTAAGACACCTAATGTATAAAGTACAAAAGTACCACAGAGTAAGGTAGCACAGCAGCAGTATGCGCAGGCACTATGTATGTAGAACTCCAAGGATGCGTCGATGGAAATATGTACCTAGGTACCTACATAGGTACATAGAATAACGAGTACGTACCGCGCCTTACAGTGTTGACCCTGAACTCTCCCCAGTCCCATCTCCATCATACATAGCGGGCCCTGACGCCTTGATTATACCTACCCTTTCCCCCACGGCGAATAGGATGTATCCACTTTTAAACTTCCCCACCCCTACCTAGACGCGCCCCTCATTCTCAATTCCTCATTCTCAATTCCTCCTTCTTTCTCACCTGCTTGATTGACAAAAGCTTCACCGCATTTCGTCCAAACATGGATTAGGTATTTCACCCAACAATACAACCTGGCTTTCTTTCTGCCCGTCCCAGATTGGTCGTGACCCTGAAAATAGATGCCTCCCGTACGTACATACATACACCTTATCCATGGAATACAGACGACCCTAAAGCAATTAGGCCTGCGTTTCTGCCTCCTGCATCCCCAATTTCTCATGCCTACCTGCCTAAATAATACAAAAAGAACCAATCATCACGGTATACTTCAGTACGCCTTTGCAGTGCCCTCCGTGTCAAAGCTGCATCTAAGCCCACCGACGAGTCTCTGGTGGTGCACTCAATTATGCTTCTTCTCCAGTCTCATAGGTAGTCCTGTTCAACTTGGATTCCCTGCTCAGGGGAAAACCTAAGCAACCACATGATTACCCCCACGCACTCGTACTCCGCGGCATGGCGTAGCCTCTTCATAGTTATTGTCCAGTCAGATCAGGTCTTCCAATAATATGTCGAGTTTGAAAAATCGAGCGGCTCTGTTCGGTCTTTGCTTGACTCTTCTACGACCTCATTGGTCTGCCTTGACGAAAGGAAGATCGGATAGTCAGCCAGTCAAGTCCCGCGCTTAGTCCTCCTTCGCCTTATACCTACTAGGGTAGCAAGGTAACGAGGTAGTCTCGTCGGCTTGAGCGAGGCAAACACCTAGCCGTACACCTAGACATACACCTTATTACTAGCAAGAGAGGAATATTAAGGTATTTAAACCATACTTCCCCCTGCCATTGGGAGACGAGGGAAGTTATATGTACTCCTATAGTCGTTCCCCTTACACTTTAAATACCCAAGCTTTTCTTCTTTATTTTTAAGGAACTTTCTTATCATACCCACCCTCTATTATATAAATCAGAGCAAATCCCGCGTAGGTTAAGCTGCTTCCTACTTCATTATTCATTAGTATCTTAGAATCTTTGTGATTTTCCCTACAACTTCATCATCTACCCCTTCTCTCACGTATCCCTACGTGTATCTCTCCCCAACCCTACAAGCAACTTTACAAAATCTAATCGAACCGATGACGGAATCTCCAGCTCAGTCTTTGCCTCTGCCCCATGGGGTCTACGTTCCTACCGTCGCTTTCTTCAAGGAAAATGACGACATAGACTTGGAATCAACCCAGCGCCATGCTATCCATCTAGCTGAGGCTGGCGTTGCAGGTCTTGTCGTACATGGGTCTAATGGAGAAGCCGTTCATTTAAGTAGGGAGGAACGTAGCCTCATTATTAAAACCACAAGGGCGGCGCTAGACGAGGCAGATCACCACCTTATGCCAATTATTGCAGGCTGTGGTGCGCAGTCTACTCGCGAGACAATCCAGCTATGCCGTGATGCGGCCAGCGCTGGTGCCAACTATGTCATTGTGCTTCCTCCCGCATACTACGGTGGGCTCCTCGACACATCCAAGATTATTCAGCATTTCTACGATGTTGCCGACTCCAGTCCGATTCCAGTCATGATCTACAACTACCCCGGGGCCTGTTCTGGTCTGGACCTTTCCTCCGACGCAATCCTTCAAATCGCTAAGCACTCTAACGTCCACGGCGTTAAACTTACCTGCGGAAACACAGGGAAATTGGCACGGGTTGTGGACGGGGCCAAACCCGGCTTCTTTGTCGCTGGAGGCAGTGCAGACTTTATCCTGCAGGGTCTCGTCGTGGGTGGGCACGGGACGATTGCTGGAACTGCCAACATAGTACCTCGAGCCTGTGTTCGTATCTGCGAGCTATTCCATGCAGGCGAGTTAAAGGAAGCAAGACGGCTGCAAGCGATCGTTGCCAAAGCAGACTGGATCGCCATCCAGACCGGGTTTGCTGGAGTGAAGGCTGCCTTGCAGCACTTTGAGGGATACGGCGGGGAACCACGGAAGCCATGTGGGCTGCCAAGCGGAGAGCATATGAACATGATTACAAATGGATTCGAGGAGGTAATGGCCCTGGAGCGGAGCTTGGTCTGAGAGGGAAAATCTGGGGAGGGGAATTAGGTTCTACTAGGCATCATGGGGCTCAATTGGGTTCTCACAACGGAGTGGAACACGCGCTTGGCGTTTATGAGATTGAACGGCGTTACATGGACGGAATAGCGCAAAAATTGTGGAATCAAAAAGACTTACCAGCTGTCCTTGATCCCTGGTATAGGATAATTGTGTTAAAAGGCTCTTAAAATGGGTACCCGAGTAAGAGTTACTATAAGCTATTGTCGAAAGGCTAGAATGTAGAGCATCCATATGAATATGATCCAGGAGGATTCTCATAGCCACATCTCGCTTAGTTAGTGCGCAACCAGCCTTCTCTCACTTATACCATCGATATAACTTCACTAGGTATGCTACGAGAAACACTATAGGCTATAACTGCCGGTAATTCTAACATGTTGGTTGGTTAGTTCTAAACATAAGCGCCTCTAACGAACCTGTCTGCCAAATCCTCTATTCTGCATAGCAGAAGGCAGAAGCACGTTCGAGGCTCGGACGGCGACGACCATAACGGTTAGGATATCGGCTACCGCTGCCCCATGATTTCCAACGGGCAGCAGCGCCACCAATTCTTCTATGCCACAGCATCACGCATGATCCACGCTGCCACATTACCCCAACCCAGCTTCTTCATGACGGCAAGTCGCATACCACGTACTACCTAACCGATCTTCGCAGCTCTCATCCATTGGAAACACGTCCATCACCCGAGACAGTCGCAAGGGAGGACAGGAACACAAGACCCTTCTGCATCATGTACCAAGTAAATCCTCGGCCGATCAGCAGTCGGTCCTGTCATAAAATGCAGACATTGCAGATCATCCAAGCCTTTCTCTCAACCCTGTACCCCGCAGTTCGGACCTTGCAGGCCATGCCGCGCTAGTCCTATGAATCTGTATCCCATCCCTTGGGGAGAAACTTTGGGGGGTTAGTATAAGACAGAATGCAAAGAATAACGCACGATACGCACGTTACATTACTCCGTCGACGTTTGTCAAGCTATCATTTGTACGGTGCCTGCCTACGTACCTAATCTAACCTATTGACCAACCTGTACATATATTTACCCGAGCTAGCGAGTGTCATACAGCGAGTGGTAGCATTCTGTCACTACATGCTATATGTATACTTCGAATATGTATGTAATGTCTTAAAGTACTACATACCTATTTTCATCGCCAATGACACCTCACTACTACTACCGGTATACGGTTTCATAAACGCTGCCGACGCCACCACCACAAACACTACCTACCACGACCATGTAGATATGAAGGATCCCTCGGCAACCGCTCTCCGCGACCTGGTTTTTCGGCATCCAAGACCTTCTGTGTCCTGGTTACTGACCTGTTTCGCTGGATTTGCCGTCTTACAAGCCTCGCATTATTGCAACGTAGTTTAGTAATAGGATGACTTCTTAGGGGCCAGAGGCTAGCAAAGTTACGTGTGTGTGTTGCGATAGCGGAGACTATCGCGTAAAAGAAGACAGTGACACAGTGGCAAGATGTAAGGTAAGGTAAGGGACTCCAACATCGGGCATTTTATCCTTCTTCTGTCTAGTTCTCTAGCTATCTGTTTCAGGCTCACTTCGAGGGCTCCAAACGGGCATAAACGGCCGCTATATGTTGGCTTAGGATTATGTGATACTGAGGGGATCAATACCATCCTACGTCCGGGCTCTCGGGTTGGTCGCGTGATGACATTGGACAAAAAGCTGGAGTAGTCCGAAACGGGCAATAAGAGGAGTTAGGGCTTACACCTGTTATGTCAAGTAGAAGAAGAAGAGGAAAAAAAAAAAAAAAGGAAAAACCCTCACCAGATCACCTGGTCCTCCCCTTACAGCTTCGTAAGTTTTCTCCAGACTACCACGGTCAGATAATCATGCAGAGGGAGATCTCATTCCCCGAACCCGAACATGCGGACAAGGAGCTTTGATGACCCCTGACCCCCACGAAAGGAGAGAGAACATGATTTCGGACGTTTCCTACCTATTTCTCCCACACGTATCTCAGTAAATATAGGGGTCTTTTTACGGTAGTTTTATCTAATTACAAAATGATACATGAGTTACTCTTACAGCCGCGGTCCATCTGATGGCCAAAATTCCCCTCTTACTGCATTTCTCACCTGCTCGAGGCGCTTACATGCGACCACGAGAATACGTTGTCTGATAATCATGAATAGGTACATTGTGCTATATAAAACAACGCTGCACGTTAGGGGCGAGGCAATACAACGCAAGGAATGCCGGCACCCGGCAGACGGCCTGATCAGATATGCATAGAATGGCGTGGGGTTTGTATCTTGACCCCTCGGTTGCGTGGCAAGGACTTTGCAATGCAATGCGATACGCCGATGCAATCAATATGCAGTCAGCACTGAAAGGGGGTTGTTGGGCTGCCTACAATCCACGAGGTGACTGCGGTTAGCTAATAATTCCTTCAACCAGTTCATCGAAGTGAAACACTGAGGCCACCGGGGGCAATAAGTCATCTCGCTCGGTAAAGAGTCGAAGGTGCATGCGGGACCAGTCCGTCCGAATTCTACGAGGCATAATTCTTCTTTACCATCTCTCATCTGGAAACGACCGAGAGGGTTATCTTTTTCGATATAGGCTTGCCGCGGACCGCGCGTTCATTCAGTGTATTATATCATAATTTTGGCTGAAATATGAATGTGACGGCACGACCCGGCCGATTCTGTAATCGAAAAAAGCCCGAAAATTTAGAAAGGCAAAGGCGTTTAAACCTCATCTTAATATCACCAGACGCAGCATACCAAGCATAATACGGTGAATCAACTACCAGCCACACAGCTATTCGGCTAGAGCGGCAGGGTCCTCTGCCATCTCCTGCTCCGTACGACTGGTGCCGATGAGGATTGGTAGAACACGTTCCAGGATTAGCGACCCCTGATACCGGAATGGGAATCCGGCGGCCAGAGACCGGGCTTACATAAGTGAAGAGCGGGTGCTCCCGTTGCGTGTGTCGCGAACACATGAAGCTTCGTTAGGCTGCGAGCTGCAGGACCGACGATGACATCTATTGGGTGTCTCTGGCTTATTGTTTCCTACACTAGCAAATTACAGAAGTTATGACGGCTATCTCGTTAAGAGATATTAATAGGAAGTACAAGAAAAGCCGCATCTGTATTGCTGACAGGAACGTCTGAGAGCCAGGGTTCCATGTGGCTTTCTTTTTCCTTTTTCTGGCTTCCGCCCAAGTGGAGTTGTTCACCTTTCGGCCGCAGAGAATCCTCATAGAATGAGAAAACCCCCACTCCCGGTCTCCTTATGTTACACCTTAGTCATACTGGATCTGCAGTGACAGTAGCTATTGAACTGCATGGGCGCCACAGACCGGGACACAGGTGATGTTAGTGAAGTTGATTTGTTAATCAAATCCGCAACTGAGGATTCCGCGCCTTTGCCCTGTGTACGAACTGCTATATCGTCATTACCTTACCCTCGGAGTCGGCTCCATGAGAAATAATTGGGCATTAAGAGCTTTGTGCTTCGTAGCCTTGTCTGAGGCTGGTGATACGTAAGTTGTATTACTCTACAGTTTCAGTGCCGAAGTAGTATAGCCCAACAAACGCAAAGGTGGCGGGCCAGGCCCATCCTAATAACCTCACGATGAAGCCTAACATCCCCAAAGAATGAGAAGAAGCAAGTGGCAGGGAAGTTGATGCCGTTCTAGTTTCAGGGACAGAATACCACCGGCAGCGCTTACAATACCATGGGAATTACTACACAAATCAAACCGAATTGCAGCATTGCCAAACATAGGACCTATAATGCGGTGCTGTTAAATCTAGGCCGCTCTATTCTCATGCGAGATCCAGATTGGACTGCTCCCTGCGTGTAGCAAGCGGTAAGAATCGAACCAATAACCTTCTTTTCAAATAATTTTATCCGTGGATCGTCCGAGTCTTTTGAATACTTGGTACGATCCTTACGTGACCGCGGGTTCGCAAGGCCGGCTCCGCGCTGATATAAGATATCCCGTTTAGGAAGCGTGCACATTTCCAGTCATATGAGACAGCCCGATCTTATTCTTTCTGATAGTTACATCATTAATGCCCTATCTTACTCAATATGATAACCACACGCTTCCAAACATTCGGAAGACTCTGTATGGTCCATCCCACAATAGAGCCCAACGACGGGGACGGCTTGCGTAATACTGCAAATTCGATATAAAATAGCTCTCCGTACTATTGCTCAAAGATAAGGACCAATCCTCTAAGTGGCTTTCAAGTCGCCACTCACGCGGACAATGGGCGTGTAAATCGGTAATAATAATTGGCGCTTCATCCTTCCATCTTTGAAAAAAAAAAAACTCCAAGACATGGCCCCTATGACGTCGAATAAGGGTACGGGCAGGCTGGCTTCTATGACATTCGCTGATCAGGACTGTCATACTTGGAGATACCTATGCATCAAATCCCGATGCACGTAAGCGCTCAGGACCACACGGGCAGACGAGTCAGGATGAGAAATGCTACCGCGGCTTGCACATATTAGTGACACCCATTTCAGATATTCGATCAGGACGGGAAGACGAAATACAGGGCAACCCAATATTATTCAAGTTTACCATTGGCCCGCCGACGGTGTAGATCTAAGATATTGCAAGAAGAAAACCGGGATCAGGATACATTTGCTGGTTAGACAGCCCGTAGCCTTTCCCATCGTAGTCCAGTGTGATGAAGATTTTATTTGGTCTAATTCAAAGTAAATACCTTTTAGATGTAACAGAAGGTAGATAGCAATTGTCTAAGCCACCTTGGCTGCAGATATCTAAAAGTCAATGGCCTAATCTAGTTCTGGAGAAAGCCGCATTAAAATACGGTGACGATGGTCCTGGGAGAATTGTCTCCCCTGAACGAGATTAACTCAGAGTTCATCTATTGCCTAGTTAATAAGACTCTGGAAGTTTCTTTATTTCGATCCGAGTAATTTCTACTTGTTCCAATGCCAAAGGGTTTAGCGTGGTTATGAACAACGCTTGGATAACGTTACACTATTAACAAAGTGCCCAAACTATACCCCTTTTCAGGATTTGAGACAACACTTGCTCTTATGCTTAGAACGATATACACATATAGTATACTTCAAGTTTTATTATGTCTCATTTCATTCATAATTTACTCTCACCTCGTTAATGCTTATGTAATTTGTGTATCTTGTTTGTACTCGAATGCCTATTGGGCTTAGGTATATTGAATTCCTTTTATCTTTTTTCCTGTAGAAGTTAAGGTACGAGAAGTGACTGTCAGAGGATTATGAGAATACTGTAAATTGATAAATTATATTTAAGTGTATGACGTATAATACATAGCAATCGCGAGGGAATATAACACTAAACCACAGAAGGCTGCCAGACTATCATAAGTATCCTCACGCCAAACAGACAGTTTTAAAATACTTGTAATAACATGAGAAAATAATTATATGCAAGTCTGTTAAGTCATATTATTTAGCTCCAAGAACATGGATGACTTGAAATTATCATCATTAAATTCATTCACTATTTACTAGATATTCCAAAACTTATAATATTTAGGTACGCATGTGAAGCAGTTCTGTCATGATGATACGAGATTGAATTATAAGATTTTCAAGTAAAACCCTTGATCTGTATTATGCATAGAATGAATTTCAGATAGAGGAATTAAAGTATTAAGGTATGGTCTTTTACCCTTTTTTGAGGGCGCTGTGCGCCTCTTATATACTCAATCCTAGAATATATACCCCTGAATCTACCCCTAACCCACGTATTTCCTGATGGATACCGAAGTTAATCTTATGGTTCAAGTAGGTATGTCACATAGTAGCAATAGTTGATCTTCCGTAAAATATAGGTTGCTTATAGATATTTATCTGTGGTATCAGCTAAGAAAGGCTTAAGTCAAGCAGAAGTAACGCTAATAGAACCAAAGGCCCTTTACAGACATTGCGAATAATAATCATTCTGGAACTTGCATGTCGTTCCAGCAGCACAGACAGTGCACCCATTCCAGGTCTTGCCGGCACATTGCCCATATTTAGCCGCAGCACAGGCGTTACCACCACCGGGAGCCGGTGGTTGTCCGGGTTGCCCGCCTGTGAGTTAGGGGGATATGTTAGTAATGCTGTGACAAGAGAGGGCTTGGTATGGGGACAGAAGAAGTATTTACCTTGAGGCCCAGATATCAATACAGGGGTTCCAGTTTTCGAGGTGAGATCAATACTGCAGGTATTTGCACACGATCGTCCAGCTCCGGGGTTCGTGAACGGGTTTCCAGGCACCGGGTCTGTGCTGTTATAAACGATGTCGATCCACTGAATCTGCATCTCCGCAGACTGGCCCTTGGTCATGTTGCCACTCCAACTGCCACCATCGCTCCAGCTGTTGAACATGATACGGCTTGCATCGCGGGGTGCTTGGAACTGGATGGAAGACATAAGCTGCCCGTCGACGAACCAACTTGTGGATCCCGGGGTCCAGTCCATTCGATGATGCTGCCACTTGGACCAATCTACGCGGTTTGGCAACGAGACATTTCGAGTTGCTTGAGGGATATCACCGGCCTCGTTCCAGGATGGCTGATTCGTATACTGTATCGAGTACTTCGGGTCGACGGTCCTAACCTCGAGATCGGCTTCTTGTACTTGAGCAATCTTTGGCGCCTCGCGGAAAGTGAACATAGCCGTAATGGCCCCCGGCGCACCCCTAGTCCTGGCGTACATACGGATAGACAGATACCGATAACCGAGGGAGACCGACTCAATCTCTGAAGCCGATTGGAAATCACCATGGCGCATTGTTCGCATCACGAGATACGTCTTGGAGGACGCTCGTAGATCTGAATTCCTATCGAAGTAGATATTATTCGCCGAGTTCACCATCAGTACCGTTGCATCACTTCCAGTGATGTCCGAGCTACCGTTCATGAGAGCACTGTTGTTCCATGTCTGGATGGCCCACATGCTCGTCCATGCGGGATCGTTGAAATAATTATTCGTTACAGGCGCATCGGCGCTACCTTTTGGATCATTGATCGGCCCTGGCACGCGGACGTTCCGGGTCTGGTCCCTAAAATCGAAGAAGCGATGATGCGTAAAGTAATGGGAAGTCGTCGTGTTAGTTCTGTAGCAGTTGCATCTCGAATCCGTCACTAGGGGGTAGTTTTGTGCGTGGACGGCGGCCAACGACAAGAATATGGCTACCAACGTGGTAACGAGTCCCCAATTATTAGCCATGTTTGAGGCTTAGAGCCAGAGGGCCTTGTCACCTCAATACTTAAGTTTATGATTTTTACGATATTAGAAGATGAAAGGGACGTCACAACGATCGCCTGCAAGCGAGGCTATGGGTAGGTGAAATGCCAGTTCAGATCAGAGGGACGTATACGCATAAACTAAAATAGAACGCAGGAACAGAGAGAAGAAGAATAATCCACGCCAAAGATCTTCATACTGAGCCCAGCTATATGTTGCTTGTCGGTGAAAACATTCGATATGAAGCCCATGGCTGGCATCACGGCTCAGGGGAATCTAGAACTCGTCGGCAAAACATGTTCTACTACATTACACCGCGCGGCTATAGGGCAGTTCAAATGCACACTAGATTTAGCGATGAAATAAGCTTTTCCCTCAAGCAATATCTTGCGGGGAATAACCAGATCCGGATCGTTGTCAGGGGAAGGGGAGAGAACCAGAGTGGACCGGGTAAATTGTACTAAGTCAAAAGCCTCGAATGCCAACATTTTCAAATTAGAAACACGGACGGCATTTCTCCCTGTTCTTATAAGGGGACACCTTTGCATGATTCGCAATACGAGGGTAGTATTGCGGAACATAATTCTTGAAATTTTTGAGCAGCGAAGCTAATATAGACATGGCGAGTCCTACCACTCGGCAGACATGTGTCGAGACGCGAGGACGATGGCATCTTGAATGCTACCACACCGCAACGATATAACCACCTAACGAGATCTAAGATGGGATATGTCAACAATACTACGAATAACACCACACTATCGCCTCTAAAGCGAAGCGCGGTGGTGTAATGCTACTGTTGCATGACATGCCGGCGATTGTAGCATCCAACTATAGCCCATCGAAGCTATGCTCCCCGTGTCGACCTGCCGGAGTTAATATCGACATCTCATCTATTACGTAAAGGGCAACGGGGAACATATAGCATGACTACGACCGCTCGGTCAGTCAATCAACATGGTTGACGTTTATTATGAGAATAGTTTCCTCGTGATTCAAAAAGAAAGGAATATACTTATTATTGCTCCTGATAACATATATCTCGGTAATAGTTAGATTTAGAGATGAAGGGCTGTGAATTAGAGGAATCGCACTTCGAAGCGTAAACGTCATATTTAAATATGCAACTTATTACCTGTCATCTATCATTTCAATGTTTTGCCTCAATACTCGTGGGAAATGCTTGGCAATGGCACTATTCGGTGTTAGAAACAGCCGCATGTGTAAGTGATCGCTATAGACCTGCTGATTATTCGCGTATCTCGGCTTCACTACGAGTTTTACACATGTGCATTTGATATAAGCATGAGGTATGATATAATAGATATGTAATGGATATGGAGTAGATGGTGTGCCGAAGGTCTAGACAAGGTTCCTAGCGTTGAAATTTGCCTATTATCACGATACGGTAGGTAGATGTTATATTGTATATTGTCTAAGTTGGTCGAGGGAGGATCTAGCCTTAATGCTTTAATGTACATGTGGGGTACACACGTGACACCGGTACTCTAATACCAGGTACCCATCTCATAGTACAGTGCTTATTCTATAGATTCTACAATACGCACTGTTAAACTCGTACCTATGTAGCGTCGAGTCATACTTCTTTCTAAGTCCGTGCGCTGACATCTGGTGCCTTCTGTTTTAATGTGAAAAGTGACAGGTGATAGCGTGTTTAATTGTAAACGCGTAAAAAAGTTAGGATGACGCGATTTCCTTAACATGTGTTTGCCTCATCATCAACCTGCTGAACCTGCTACCTAGCAATTCTCCCCACAGCGGGACAACCTTACTTTTATTTCTTCCTGTTTACCTATCGTAGTCTTGTTCTGTTGAATTCTATCGAATTCTTCTAACATTTCTACGTGGAACTACATCTATTTATTTACATTGTTCATGTGCAGTATCTAGAGTGCGATATAACACTTACATCCATTGGCTATAAAACCGTAGCCGAACAATGGATGCGAATCCTCCTATCAAGCCCGAGCCTTCGGGTCCTGAGGATCGTTTCATTAAACCGGAACCTTTGGATGATCCAATGACAGCATCTCCAATTTCTAGGGTTGCATCAGAACAACCTTCATACAATGTCCCGACTACGACTTCTAGTGCCTCTTTGTCACCCGACTCTTCTAGTTTCGCTCTCCAGACTGAAGCGGGAATGTCAACTTCTCCGAATGCTCCTATTAAGGCCGACCCGGAGATAGAGCAAGATAAGAACCCAAACCCACCTGATGTGGAATCGAATGGCACCAATTATCTTGATCAACTGATCACTGTGACTGTTCCCGAAACACTAGAGTCTGGCGTGACAATTGGTATCGACCTCCTAGATCAACTAAAAGTCCATCTAAGTACTTTTAAAAGCATCGATGTTGATACGTGGATCGATACAATCAATACGTTAAAAGAGAGTGCAAAGCCAACGCGTACTGTCGTAGGTGTTGTTGGCAATACCGGCGCTGGCAAGAGCTCTGTCATCAACGCACTTTTAGATGAAGAACGGTAAGATCTCGGTTGCTATTACTTTCTCCTATTGCTTTCTCAACCCATCCTCCCGTCACCTCTCCCTCCCTACCCCCCTTTCTCACATAATCACCTAACCCTACAATATATTTAGACATATACTTAAAAGTGCCTAGATTGCTTCCTACAAATTGCATACGCGCATGTACTGCGTCACCAACTGAGATTTCCTATAATCACTCGGATGATCCCTCCGAATTATATCGGGCTGAGATTGAATTCATCACTGCCCAAGAGTGGATCAAGGAACTCCAGATACTATTTAACGATTTGTTAGATGGCAATGGTGCGGTTTCGCGCGACTGTTCCAATGCTGATAGCGAGGCCGGTATTGCCTACGCGAAGCTAAAAGCCGTCTATCCGCATAAGACTAAGGAAATGATCGCTGAAGGGACACCGCAGGATTTTGCCAACGAATCGGCTGTTCGAGGGGTGCTCGGCAGTATCAAGACCCTTAAAGAGAATTCCGCGAAGAGTTTATACAGTCAGTTACAGCGTTATGTCGACAGCAAGGAGAAGATCACTGGGAATGAGAATAGAAAACGAAACGTTCCTATGGAATATTGGCCCTTGATCAAAGTTGTCCGAATTTACACCAAGGCCAAGGCGCTGTCTACGGGAGCCGTACTAGTCGACTTAGTAAGTTTCTCAACCCGCCTCGCGAAATAGGGATCTTCTTTACTGACTTAATTAGCCGGGTGTACAAGATTCCAATGCTGCTCGAGCAGCGGTGGCGGAAAAATACATGAAATCATGTACCGGTTTGTGGATTGTGGCGCCTATTACTCGAGCCGTTGACGATAAAACAGCCAAGTCACTTCTCGGCGACTCTTTCAAGAGACAATTGAAATATGACGGCACGTATTCAGCGGTTACCTTTATTTGCTCCAAGACCGATGATATATCCATCACGGAAGCTGTAGACAGCCTTGGCCTCGAGGAAGAAATGTCCGAGCCCTGGAGTCAAACTGAAGAATTGGGAGATTCGATAAAAACCTCCCAATCTCTCTTAGAAGAATTAGCAGACAAGAAGACTGCGCTTGGCGACCAGGTCGATGAGATTGAAGCCAGCTTGGACATATGGGAGGACCTACAAAGCCAGCTTTCGAGCGGGGAGATAGTTTACGCGCCGTTCGAAAAGTCTAGGAAGAGAAAGAGGCCTTCCAAGTCCTTCCAGAGTCGCAAGAGCCGCAGCCCATTCGGGTCTGATATCGATAATGTCGATGACGATGATGGCCAGGATGCATACGAGCATGACTCGAGTGATAAGGAAAACTCGCAGTCGATCCGCACCGGCCAGCCTCTTACTAGTGATGATATTGACGAGAAACTTGCATCACTTAGGGCCCAAAAAAGAGAATTACGTGACAAAAGGCGAGGCCTTGATGTGCAAACTTTAGATCTTCGCAAGCAGATACGGGAGGCAAAAGCTAAGCAACAAGGAATTCTTGATGAGGTCAAGGCACGATGTATCCAAGGACGTAATAATTATTCTCGCGGTGCAATTAAGCAGGACTTCGCCATGGGAATCAAAGAGTAAGTCTACTATTTGTTAACACTAACTAATCTATTACCATATCAATCATAACGATATTGATTAGTCTTCCACTCATCCGCTGACAATAATTAGACTTGACCAAGAACACGCTGCAGAAGAAGATGACACAACATTCGACCCCGATCAAGATATTCGCGACTATGACGAGGTTGCTCGTACTCTACCTGTGTTCTGTGTGAGCAGTCGTGCTTACCAAAGTCTGACTGGGAAACTCAAAAAAGACGACTTCCAAGATCATGGCTTTATGTCTGTGGAAGACACAGAAATCCCGCAGCTTCAGCTGCATGCGAAGAAGCTAACAGAAGAAGGACGAGCAAGCAACTGCCGTAGATTCCTTAATGATCTAACCCAATTGATCAATTCTATGAAACTATGGGCCAGTAGCGATGGAACTCAATCTATACTGACGGATGTGGAGAAGCGGCGCGAGGAGATGCATTTACGCAAACTCTTGAATGATTTGGAGACAGTACGTTGTTGTCCAGCCAATCCTGTCCTATGATTTTTCCATACTATGTTGCTGCTAGTGCAGGCGGCTTTGCTCATTCCAACTATTTGTGACAACGATTTCAGTTGTTACTCGTTAGCTCCTCTACCTATCTGTCATGACTAACATTTCGTAGGGATTCGATACATCTATTAGGGAGGCAGTAAAACTACTTAAAGAGTCGCTTCAAGAACATGTTTATTCCGTCTTCACGTCGTCTATTCCGGGGGCTGTCTCTGCTGCTCCCAATACCGCAAGCGGATGGTCAGCCCCTAAACAATTAGGCGGTATGGTCTGGGCGACATATAAAGCAACTGTTCGACGGAGCGGTGTTTATACTGGTGCCTCAGGTCCTCATGATTTCAACCAAGAGTTATTCGAACCAATTTCTCGTAATCTGGCAACGGGATGGGAACGCGCATTCCAGCGTCGGCTACCAGCCGTCCTCGACGAGTTTGCGGCAAAGGCAAAGAACCAACTGAAAGCGTTTCATGAAGCTGCCCAAACCCGTGCTCGGCAACGCCACACTAATGTATCAGGAATAATTACCCTGTCCAGTCAGATACTAGCCCACATGCGTACAATAGAACAGCTACCAATTACCATGCGAGCCGTAATCACTGATCTTCAAAGAGAGGCTAGTCGACAATTCACTCCTGCTATCTGCAACGCCATGCAGTATGCCTATCAGGTTTGCACAGAGGAGCGTGGCCCCGGCTCCTATAATCGTATGAAGGCAGCAATGGCGAACCATGTTGAAACTTCACGTCACACTATGTTTAACCAGGCCACTGATACAGTAAAAGCGCAACTGGAAGCGATGTGTCGCGTTGTCCAAAAGAGCCTAAGTGACGAAATGGAAGACATGTTCAGCTCTATCTTTCGCGATTACATGAAGGTTCTTGGTGAGTGTTTAACTATTAAGGCCTCCATAATTTTGATATTAACATTACTGCAGTTGGCACCACAGTCGACCGTCACGCTAAGCTACCACCTCAAGAACTTGCCATGCGAGCAAATGTTAACGACTTCCTGCAGCATTGCGACTTGATGTTTTCCCCTGCTCTAGGCGAGGCAGCCGTCGATGAATGTTTAAAAGCAAAAGGCACAACCCAGAGATCTGAAGCGGACCCACTGATAGAGGGTGAGAACGACTATAGCGGGGAAGTAGCATCTATCAAAGTAGAAGCCCCGAATGAGGCCCAAGTCTCTATCGACATACCTAGCGAGACTAATGTCAACCACGCTACGCAAAATGTGGAGTTTAACTCAACACTGGCTGAAGCTGATGAATTAATGCAGCAACAAATTCGAGCGCAAAGCCAAAGCGTTGAGGGCGAGTGAAATTTCTAGCGATACGTTTCTTTTCGGGGAAACCAAACCAGAGGACCGTATTCCCTTCTATTTCGTTCTGTGAAAGGGTGTCAGCAACTCCCCCGGTTCGGTAGTGAGTTTGGTCCGGGTTGGCGTGTCTGTGTGCAAAAGGAGTTAGCTTCAGGACAGGCGGTATAGGTGGTAGTAGCAAGGTTGCTATCGTATAGTGGTTGGTAAAAGTTTATAAGGGTGGACCAAGTGAGCTAGCTAGATAGGAGGTAGCTATATAGGAACTGTCTCGAGCTGCTATGTAAACATGGTTCACATAGTCTTGAACCATTGAAAAATCACACTAATATTTTTGGCAATTACTCTCATAACTTCTCATCTATGTGTAGCTATTTTAGGTTGATGGTGTGGTCCTTGGATTGTCGTCACGTAACTGTGCTGTCTTATTTTGGATTGATAGAAACACACATTCTTTTGGGGCCTAGCCTTCGTAGTGTTAGCTCTTGAACTTGCTAATCATTTCGTCTGGCCGTAATAAAGCCTGGTGGAAGGGAGGCAAACTAATAACATCTTATTCTATTAATGTTCGTTAACAGCTATATAATGTATGCCGCATAGCTGCAATCTAAATAGTAACACCATGATAATGAATCTGACCTAAGTCTCGTTGGGGCTTTCACAGGAGGCGAAGGACGAAACTAATGGCTCGCAGGTATCCCAGTGAAATATCATAATTAAACACATTTGTCCCCCAGTTCTACTCAGGTAGGTGTTCACCTCTCCCCTTCACCTCGACATCGTAGCAATAATCATATATAACAGCTACGAATCGCTATTTTCATGGTCTCCGTCTTCCATCTACCGGCGTCAACTCGGACGAGAATGACGACACGGATCCTTGTCTCTCGACGGTGTTTTTCGTAGGCATCATTTCTACCGTCTGTCCACCTCTGTATACCGGCGGACCGCCGTATATAGGGCCGGGCGTGTACGGAGGACTAGGGTCGTTGGAGGTGCTGTTATGGCGGCGATGGTCGTCTCTTGCAAACGGATGCGGGACGTGGTTAGGAGGTATGTTGTTGGGAAGAGGAGCATCGTCTGGGTGAGCCCGAAGGTTCTCTCGACGGCGCATTTCGCTTAACACGGCCGTCATGGCCCACATCAGCCAGGCGAATGCCGACACGATGGAATAGGCGATGATTAATCCCTGGGACGCCTCTGCTAGTTTCAGCCCGAGCCCGCCGTTGATGATACCTAGGGTGATGGCGATGCGGCCGAGCCACAAGTGTGCGTGCGAGTACAAGGTTCGACGCCGCAGACGCTTGAACTTGGAATGGTGGGCGAATCCGAGTTGCGGCTGGATGAACAGTACCACGAGCAGGACGATGCCGATGATGGGGTGGGCGTTTTTAGATGGTATTTGTAACTATTCCGGTTATTAGCTAACCAGGCCTCGTTCTAACTATCATAACAAGAGGCGGGAAGTTCAGGATAGAGAAAATAGGAGAGAAGGGGTTAGTTAACTAGTAACTTACCAAACTAGAACCACTAGGAGGGATCCTCACCATCTCTATAAGATGTATCCCAAGCGCGGCAGCGGCAATGTATAGAACGAACCCGATAACCTGGGTCGCAGCGTGGATGATCCAAGTGTGTCGACTAGGCAGTAGTCGTACGAGGATGGCGCCGATGGGAAATATCACAACAAAACACAACGCGGCGATGATACCGTGAGCCGTGCGATATCGAATCGCCTTATCGACGTCGAAGTCCGCGAACACGCTCAGGCCACCTCCTATTGTGCCTGAACTGCCCGGCCCGTTCCCGTAGCCGCTGCCTTCGTTGTTCCCGGGCCAGCCCGCCCAAGCATACCCGCCGTCGCCGCCGTCGTATGGACCCTGGGCTTGCACGCTCCCCGCTGGTGTAGATATGGTAGTTAGCCCTCTATCTGATGAGGACTTACTTTAATCTATCTGGAGATTATGAGATAGAAATATATTCCATCTGTTGAACCTTATATAGGTAGGTAGGTAGGTTAAGGAAAAGTAGCAGGTGGTCAGAACTTACCTAACAAAGCGGCGTATAAGCCGAAAAAAGCAACAGACTTCATGTTGACACGCGGCCCTCGAGTAAACCAATCAATTTTTTCAACTAACTAAATTCAGCCCTCTCTCTCTCTCTGTTCATCTGCGCCGTGTCAAAATGATACCACATCAAGCGTGCTAGATGCAGGATATAACTCATCAATAGACAATTGTTGCCTTTGTATGTAAGTTCCAGTCCCCCTCCCCCCCCCCCTTACCAACGGCCACCCTCTTTTACATATATACCCTCCCCTCTCCCCTTTCCCCCCTTCCCCTCCCCCCGCGATCCCGCACGCGCGGCTCCCCAGAAGAGAAAAAAAAAAAAGCCCAAGCCCCCCTGTCTCGGAACTTGGCCTGGGGACGTGCCGCCGCGCCCCGACCACAAACAAGGTTCGGGACCGAGCGTCCCCACGCCCGCCCGTACCAGCTAGCCAACCAGCGCTCCCGACGCCGTTACACCCCAAATCCAATAAACGACCCATTTCCTTCGTCCACGGCTCCTCAACAAACAAGTCAGGATTACGTCAGTGCCATCGCTCGTGTTCCCCCGTAAGGCTTCGCTTCCCGACACCACCTAGGATTGCGTAACGCGCCGCCCCGGTACGCATCGCCACGTGGATTTGAGTTGTGGCAGCGACTGGCAGAATCTTAATGACGTTATAATGTTTATCTCTGGCTTAGGTTTAGACGTAACATCATCACTAAATTTCTTGACTGTGCCAATAAATGAGAGGCAGTTAGCACATGATCGGCCAGTAGACCAAAATACTCGTCACTTGACAAGTATACTTCATGTAGACACTAGGTCACTAACTTAGGGGACGGCATCACAGGTAATTTAAACAATGTACTAGGTACGATGGACAATTAGATAATGGCTAAAACCGAAAATCATCGAGCGTATCACAGACCCTCAAACATATACTTTGAAATTTAATGTATTGACTAAAGAGAACCTGAGCGCCTATTAAGCCAATTTAATGCTTACAAAGGCTAAACGAACGTCACCAAGGCAAGTCCAAGCAAAACGCCGTTCTACTACTACCGAAATCGAATGCACCTGATGATGAATTGTTGTAATGACGTAGGCCGGGATAATAGAGGAGCGGTTTAGTTAAATTTCCATAGCTTTCATTATGCCATGAGCTCTTATTTGTATTCGGAAAATGTACCAACCAACTAAAGCCATACCTAACTATCATCATCCGAGGCAGATAGCCGGGAATCGAGGCGGGATTAATTAGTCCTTCGTATTCCGTCAAGCCTGCGAAGAAAGACCTTAATTGCATAAGCGTACAGAACTAATTATCTTGATGCCGCCGTTTCATAATAGAGAGCGCTCCGTGAACGACTAGACCCGAGACCGCTCATCCTGCCGGTGGCTGATTCTTTTTACAACCTCGAGACAGGGGCTGAGAGGACCCGGTGCAAGCAGTAGCATTCTTCGACGAACACATGCCAAGGCGAACGAAATTGGTTGCGCTATCTGCGAACAAGGCGTATGTGTTCAAAATGTCAAGGCATCAGGACGCAAAGTAGCCGCAGAAAAAAGCAGTTGCAATCGCCAATGTTTGAGACATGTCGAAACTATATGCCACGAAATTGTCATCAAGGAAGACGAAGTGCCGCTCAGGTTGGATAAGGTGAAAACCAAGGAAATCGTGAAATGAAATCAACGTCGTAGCAAATAATGCAAATGGTACACGGTTCTCCCTGTTAAAACATCTACTTTTGGACAAACGCCATAAAGTCAATGCAAGGCAAGGGAACCAACTGCCTAAGACTCCCGAACCCCGTGCGCACCGTCCATTTGTCGTATCGAACTCACCAACGCCTGCATATCATAACGAGGAGAAGGATGATCGAACAACCGCGTGTAGATGGCGTCGTACATGGTAGGGAAACAAAGATGGATAAGACCGAGGAGCCGAAACCAGAGAGCGATACGAGAGACTGAGAAGCATGCCGAAACGCCAGAAACGCAGGACGCCGGTTATGCTAGATCATACCAAGTGCGACAATTCATACCGGGTGCTGAATTGTTGCGAGCGGGTTTACTAGGACAAGGTTTAGCTTCTCCAGCAACAAATACGGGGGATAATTGCAAGACGTACCTGAGGACCTAAGCCGCCAGGGGGAGGGCCCTGATGACCGCTGCCACCAAAGCTAGGACCGGCAAACGGACCGGGACCAGGTGGGCCAGGAGGACCAGGGGGGAAGTAATGAGGCGGGGGAGGGGCAGGACGATACGGGGTACCTACACCAGAATTGTTCTGAGAACGACCCCAAGACAGACGAACCCGCGAGTTACCAATTGGGTAACCCTGCATCTGATTGATTGCCATCTCCGCGGCGTGACGGTGAACAAACTGAACAAAACCGCAGCCCTTGCCGGGTGGGATCTTAACGTAGGTAATCTCGCCAAAACCCTGGAAAAAAGATCTTAGTTCGTCTTCTGTCACATAGCCAGAAAGACCTCCAACGAAGACAGTTGTATTGTTCGGGTCTGTGAATTGGTTCATAGTCAATGGGTTAAACGTTCCGGGTTGCTGGTAGCCATAGTTAGGCGGTTGCTGCTGCTGTACCCATTGACCACCCATGTTGCCAGCATGGTGCGGAACTTGGGGGGGTTGGACCATCTGGTGGCCGTAGGGATTGAACTGCCCTCCCTGGTGGTTGCTAATCATCATGTTAGAAAATATATACTAGATATTACAATATGTTACTTACCGGTTCTTGGGAGTCGCGGGCGAGACTCTCATAGGTCTGTTACCACAATAAACGCCTTGCATCTCCACTAGCGCACGCTGCTGATCTTTTTCATCAGAAAATCTGACGAACCCATAGCCTCGCGACTGTCCAGTCTGCTGATCGGTCATGATCTTAGCTGACTTGCAGCTAGGGAATCGTGCCTGGAACAGAGCGACCAGGACAAACTCGTTGACTTCATGACCTAAATCTCCAACAAATATCGAGAACTCGGGAGTTCGGTCGTCCCGACGATCAATAAGACCTCCACCCGAAGCCCAATTCAAACGGAAAACACGGTCGGTGTTGGGGATGGGCGTGCCGTTCAGCTGCAGAGCCTTCTGGGCAGCCTCCGGGGTGGCGAATTCGACGAAACAATAACCGGCGCTCCTATTGTTATGTGAGAAGCTGTTGGTTTGAGGTTGCAGGGAAGAAATTAAAGAAGCAGGATCGGAGATGGCAGGCTTCTGCCGCTTGGGAGGACCGGTAGTATCAGGGAACCCACTCGGGCTTCCGCGAGGAATATGGCAATAGACAGGTTCTTCATACCCAGAGTGACGATCTCGGATGATCTTAACCTGCACGTTTTCGTTGAGCGTCGACTGGAATAATGTGCGAATGAAGCCCTCGTCCATCCACCCCGCTAGCTCGCCCATCCTGTATAATTCAATCAGTGTTATTCGTAATTATTGAGTGGGGATAAGGTCTGCTTCATACCAAAGGGTCTGACGAGCAGAATCGGCAGGGAAGGGCTGTGTCATATCGCCACCAGCTTGGCCGTTAGTCTGAGCCATGGAGAGGCCTTGCTGGGATACACCAGGGGCACCGCCAGCACCTTGAGAGCCAGCATCGCCCTGGGAGCCAGAGCCGTTAGACGGAGGCTTGCCGTTATAAGGGTTAAATCCGTCCATAGTAACCTGCGAGCGGGTGTCAGATACCGTCTATGCTTAACACTTTGTAAGGATTTGATATATACGGGTAAAATCGTATTGGTATTGGGGATGTATCCCGAGAATCGGATGACAACGGTAGATATAAGCAAGTCGGGGGACAATAAACATACTAAATCAAGATTGTGGCGGAACTTTGTCAAGTCTTATCGATAAAATTCCAAGTTGATGGTTTGGATACTGCAAGTAGAAGCGGCTATGTTTTGAGATATTGGTTAATAAATTGAAATCTGATCCTTCGGGGTTGAGAGAGGAGTTTGCTCAGGTAAGGAGCTTAAATGTGTGTAATATAGGATTTTATAACCATTAAAGGGCTAGCTTTTGACTGCTTTGATGATCTTAATAGAGTCGAAGAAGGTACTAGTGGAGTTTGGCAATAACGACAGACATGCGCATCCGGATGATGAGGAAGTAGTAGGAGAATACCTAGAAGTTGAAAGCTGGGGGATAGAAAAGAAAGGGTGCGGGGCCGAATGGAAAATGGGGGAGTGCAATAGTTGCATAGTGTATTGTGCAAGATGGACGACAAGGTAGACGATAAAACTCGATGATATGACTCACCTATCGTGCTTATTGCAGTCGATAAAAGCTGTGTATGACCAAATGTAAATCTCCTAGCAAACAGGACGTCAGTACACAGATCTAAAGACGGTGTTATTTGAAAACAGTGCTTATGTACAATATAGGAAAAAATTTTCCTGTGGGTCACCTAACAGCTCGAGGAATAGTGTGAGTATAGAAAACAAGATTAGGATTGTGCCATGGGCAACATTTGAGTGCAGCGTGTGATGTGAGACATACTAAATAGTGTAAATTGGTCAGAGACTAAACACGCGAGGTACTTAAGACACAAGTCTTCGTAGAAATTATACTCCTTTGTGAACTATATGACGGGGTTGTTACGATAGAAAGAAATTGGCAAAATGGAGAATTGGAGCAAAAGTCTAGGGTGGAAATAAAATAGTCTATCAGCTAGCAATATTGCGCTTTGGGACAAAATTATCATCCGTGCTACAACACGCCGCCGGGCAGTAAGTTTGTCAAAAAACTAAAAATTGTTGATTCAAAGAAGGAGGTAAGCAGCAGTGTTAATTCCTAATACATACTGAATGCGGCTTAAGCTGGAAGCTTTTCCAGACGTCTTTACCACAGTGAATTACAGCTCGAAATTATAATTCAAGAGAGACGTTGCTTGAAACCATCCGATGGAACAACATGGCATTTTCCGTAGCATGGAAACAACTTGCAAACACCCCAATGCTCAACATACGAAATACTGTCGTGGGGGGAGGAGAGGTGTTACTGTTGATGAATAGGTTGGAATGAATATGTATGCCAATATGCACTGCAGACGGCTGCCTAACAAAGACTTTTTGTTGGCAGAAGAGCATATGGCTATCACTAACAAGACGGGGGAACAACAACGAAAGTAATCGAATATCGTGATAATAAAACCCTTCGTAAGCTATACCAAGAGTAAACAATAAATTCGTAGTAGTAGCTCTTTGAGCTATTCAGAAGTTTACGCCGATACTGAAACCCGCAAGGAGACCAACCTAGCGAATATATGCCAGCGGTGGAGGTTAAAAGATGAATACAGCAACTATGCTAATGTAAAAAGTGCTATGATTCAAGCAATGGCTAACTGCTCAAACAATATTAAACTGATGGTAATAGTATCAAGGTGGTTTAATCCAATATATAGGCCGACTTGGCCTTATTGCATATTCCTATGGGGCATTCGATGTTCTTCAAAGTTTGAACTAGGCGTCTTTATCACCCACTGGCAATAAGAGTAAGGCAGAAGGAATGCCGGAAGGGGGCAAATGACCATGACGCTGAGAGGCAGAGAGGCAACATGGTAGAGAAAAATTGCTTAGCCACAAGATATAACTCACCAGGAGAAAACACCCGAGTAATATCTAGATCCCGTAAGTCAGAGACTAGGAACCAAACGCCGACGCCTTAGGCTTCTCGTTTGGATAGAAGTGGGAATGAAAGCGTTGGAATCTGAAGCTATGCCCCTAAATTCCGTTTCGACGACCGTTAATATTAGAAGACGCCCGATCAACTAAAATGATGAAATCAAGCTTTCAGGTCGTGTGACAATTTCTATTGACGATAGGGCCAAGGATTCTGTAAAACCTGTCGCCGGATTAGCTTCATAGGAGCAAAAGATATAGTTTCATAGCTAGCAAATCGGTGTCTTCAGCATTTGAACTTCAGGTCGCCAAGGTATTATTAGTGTAGAGGATCCGGTTTCCGTAGTGGGTAATGTGATGAAATCCTTAGGTATATATGTTTTATGAGACAATCCATTGAGGGTAGATATTATATTAAGGTTCTTTAGCCGTTGGTGTTAGTATTAAAGTAGACTGATACTCGTGCACTGTTTCAATGCGTGGCGCAACGATCCGCCTAAGAATTGACCGAGCAGAAATTCAACAAATCGTTAGTTTCAGGGACAGGCAGTGCTGTTGATAGGGTATTAGCCCGTTACTTGTATAAGCTCTGTAAATGTATTAAGTCAGTAGTATTCCATAAAGGTGAAAAATGTAGCCAGAACAAGAGATAAGCGCGTATACGGGTTAACAAACAGCGAATACTCATAAAAGTTCATCAAAGTAGACCAATAATTATGGGGTATTAAATGGTTGCAGGATGATGCTGGGAATATGGAGCATATGCCAAGGCGGCAATTGTGCGGGGTTGGGCAATGAAATTTTACTTACTTGGATTCAACTTTGGCACATTTGGGCAAGCAATAGTTGAGTAATGCCGTCTCGCTAGGGATTCGCACTTTCTAGCGCCAAGGACAGAGGAGTCTCAATTCTAAAGTCCAAATTTCGTCGTAACGGTCCAGCAGTTTCCAGTCTGGCTCGAATGGCTGCCAGTCTTGTTGCAATGGAAGTCTTCCATCCCTTTAAAATAGTGATCAAGTTCCATGCCGTAAGTTAGTTCCAGAATGATTAAGGGGGGTCGAGTCCTTCCCCGAGACAAGTGGATGCGTCCGGAGGGTTTGCATTTGGTAACCGTGAAGATCTGACTCCATAAACCCCAAAACATCTATCCCCTTAGGTTCGAGGTATGCTCAAGAACTAGAAGCCGGACCGTAGAACAAAGCACGCCGCTGAAGAATTCGTATATTATGGGCGAGAGGCTTTGATGTATCAACTTGACCGAACTGAGCATGTCTGACAAAAATATAGCCGTCTAAATGGGATGAACGTGCTCGCGATGTCAAGTGAGTTTCAGCTAGTCGTATTCTCGAGCACGTCCATACGATCTGTCCCCTTCACCCATCTGCGAGAATCTTGTAATGTATACTGATATGAGAAGGTCGGCGAGGCGATTGGCAAGAATAAATTATTTATTTAAGCTATCGATATTTCGCGCTCCATGTGCGGCAGAACTCTTTGGCGAGAGCATTGTATCAAGACGTCGTGCATCACAAAGAGGCTCAGTCGATGCTGGAAGCTAGCCTAGCCAGAGGTGGGGCTGATCGTCCAGGATTTTCCAAAACTCAAGTCGATCGAGCATTTGCGCGCAACTATATATTGTGCGATGCGGGGCATTGTGCGCTTCATGATGTTCAGCAAATTCCAGGAGTGCGCACCATCTATGATAGCCATAACAATGCGACGGTGGTGTCTTATATCTGCCTAGAAAGAGCTAGGGTTCGATGACGCAGCTTCGGTTCGGGGATGTAGGATCCGAGGGTCGGTCAATCCAGTTGCTACAATAAAAATGTGCAGCCTAGCCAATTCTCGCGGCTAGACAGCCTCCAGAGAAAGATGTCCAGCGGTTGTAAGACCTTATAGGTCCATGAATTGCAGTTATCCAGAGGGTCCGAGGGAGTTCAAATGCTGAAGAGCACCAAGGCGCAATAATGTTAGGAAAAGAGTAGGTGCACTTACTTTTAGACACCGAACGACACTTTTAGTTACGAGTAAAGCAGCAGAAATGTAGCGCCTTTGCGAACTCCAGCAAGATCCGAGGGTACCGGGAGACGTCTCTTCTCGTTAAAAATAGCAGGATAGTTCCTTTTTAGACTCCTAGATATCGAATTACGCCGCAACAAGAATTGGGGGAACCGTGATAATTGGGAAATAAAACCCGCACTGGACCGTTGCGACGATGCGATAGACGAAGGATGGGATACCGAGCAGGCCGCGCGCACACACAGAAAACGCTTTTTTGCCAAAACGCACACGCAACCAACGAATTCACGTAGCAGGCAAGAAGGATTGGGCTCGCGACGTTAATTAGGGTTGGAGAGAAGAGAGGAATAGAAGGAAATGAGTGTAAGGGTGGAGAGTGAGAGAGCGAGAGAGAAGGAGAATTAAAACAGCAAGCAAGAAACACAAAATCAGAACAACGATAGTGCTGGTTTGGTTTGCGCGTAGTGTGGATGTGTGTGAGTGGGAAAAAAGGTGGAATTGGACTGGGCTGGGGCCCTTCGGGTGGAGGAGAGACGAGTCTCCAACGGAGCCATGGCCGCCAAATCTTCTTCTATCAGTTGCCAAAGTGGAGCTTGCCAGACCAAGACGCACCTGCGACTTCAAACTTTTTTTAAAAAAAAATAAAGCCCTCTATGAATGCCGCTAATGGCTTGAACCGCCTAAGTACTCATTGTACTTAGTAGTTACGACTAAGCAAGCTTCCAGTTTATCTTAAGGCAGAGGAAGTACTGTACAATAGTACAGCTTCAATATGTATTTTAAACCCCGCTACAAACTCTGACGCCTACATCCTTGCTTGAACATATTGGCATATGCTACCTAGACATCGATTGATATATAGTTCATATACTGTTTAAATACAGAATTGCTTGTGATATAGCTAAATTCGTATAGATATACTTGCCTCGTAGGAAGTACCAGCATAGCATCAGAAACGAAGTGAATATACAGACTGGAGAACACTCGGCATATCAATTATGTAGTGTGCTGCCTTGCTTT